TTTGACCTAATTTTTAAATTGAAACGTCATTGTGATAGACATACCGCTCTCAATTCCTTTCAGATTTTGTTAATTAAGTAAAATGTGTCTTGACATTTTGTCATCCCTAAATTGCTTTTGTAATATTTTTTAAATTTTACAAATCTTATCCCTTAAAACATAAGCAGAAAGTCATTAAAAAACCAAATCATCTACATTCATCCGTCTTGAATTTACGAGCACATAAACTTTGAGGATTTTGGAGATTTTAAAGGACCATTACGTTAAAACGTAAAAGGATAATTTAATTTTGTTAGTTAAGTTACATTAAGTTAAGTTATATTACACCTCTAAAGATCTGTTTTATACATTTGCTAAGAAAAGCATCAAAATCTACACACTGGCACATGATTGTAAAGGTAATTAAGTAATGAGCCACTGAATTTTCTTTGAAACTTCTATAATAACCTGAGTAGGAAAATTTTAAATTAAACTTTCTCATTACTTAAAACAAAACTGTCAAAAGTTTGCTCAAAAATGAGTACATTTGAAGCAATCTTTTTAATTTATTATTTTGTAAATACAAGAGATTTGTTTACACTAGTGCATAGTTTATTTTAGGTTTAAATTACAACTTCCGCGAGTGCTCATATTTCCATAAAATGAGATTAATCTTTAAGAGAAATGTATAAAATAAACTCTCAAAAGACAAGTAGGGAGGATACTTAAAACGTTACATTTTACAACACTGTAAAAGATTCAGTTTATTTCACTGGATAAACAACACCAACTAAAAAAGTCTATAGTCATTATATTTGACTAATTGAAACAATTTTCAGTTAATTAAAAGTTGCAGATATTTAGCTGTTCAAACGTATTTATTTACCAACATTGGAATAATTGGCTATAACAAAATTAACTATACATATGAAGTCATATTCACATCAAATATTCTCAATCAAAAATAGACTGCGTTATTTGTCACTGATTAATAGTAATTAATTATACATTCGGTTAATTAATCATTATCTGTAAGTTCTATGCTTTTAATTAAATGTATGATCAAAGTGGCCTATAACTCCGAAAATAAGTATGCAACATTAACCATCACATTCAAACGTTACACTTTTTTATTTTTTAATGAATTTAATTGAAAGTGTGCTACTTATAAACTTAAAAATTATTCATCCATTAATTATTATTTGAACTATCAAATTGGCTCTAAAAAAAATATTTCGCTTCGTCGTTTTTATTTGAATTCTTTAACGTTGTCTTGACACTTAGAAGACTAATTGAATTATAAAAAATCCAAAACCGGGCCTTACTTGCAATAAAGTTACTTTATAGCCCAGTTTTTGGCATACTTCCGGTGCTAGGATATGCAACCAACAAAACGGCGTGTCTATTGACCGCCTCACAAGATCAATTGAATTTACTCACACGTTTCTGAAACCTGAAAATATCTCTTCATTCGGAAGAAGGATGTGTGTTGTGTCGGCGTAGAAAAGATAAATCCGGAAAGAGGAGGTCGTTTATGCCGGTCACGTCTGTTATTAAACGGATATGCCATCGAGAAATCCACCTGTAATTGTGCCACGGAATTGTAAAGTGGATGAGGAGGTTATCGCTAATTCGATGTGTCAAAACTGAGACTTTATTACAGCCAAAAGTCAAAACGAATAATGACTATGTCGATGTTATGCCGACCAGAACAATGCGTTTTAATTAAGTGCCGTTACTAATAATTAATTCTAATTTTAATGTCGCACAGCTGGATTTATATTGTTTCTGTTGTTTGGACAAGCAAACAATCTCAACTGTTAAGCTTTTCAGGAAAATTTTATAACTCCGTAAAATTTGTATAAATAAGCTTCAACTCTTGAATTAATAGTTCACTTTCATCTCACTAGGGATAGTTATTTAGGGATAATTATTTTGTAAACAATATAATATTTAAAAAAATATATACAAGATGAGCCAGAACTCGCGCCCTAGAAAAAAATGCCATGTAAGGTGAGATACCAGGAACATGGAAAAAATGTTAAAAATATTTTATCTATAAAAATTTCGAAGTTATGAGGGTTTAAAGTTTGCACTTTGACTCTATTTATTTCTGTTGGAAAATAATTTTCCAAGTTTCTTTGCTATAGGCTATTAAAAGAGGAAACAAGGAAGCTGCTTAATGTTATTTATTGTGGCTTTTATTAGCAAAATTTTTGTACCTTTACTAGATAATTATAAAAAAACCTATACAAGATCATCAGTATCATTAAATAGGCATAGAAAATGTCGTGTCAAAAAATAAATGGCAACATTTTTTGACAGATAGAATTTTCAAATATTTTGTTATGTTTTGTTATCTTACTTGAATTTTTTTTTTTGGGACGCGAGTTTTGTTATAAACGAACTAGTTTTAAAAAATTAAATTCAATAGCAGCATGGTAAACATAGAGTAAAGTTTTAATAATAATTACATACTTTACTTTGTCATTTATCATTGGAATCAATAATAGCAAATGCTAATTTTATTCAACAAACAAAAATCTTCAATAACGGGAGAAACTTTAGATATGCGATAATTATTACAAAATCTCGGCGATTATGTTGCAATTTGCTCGTATTGATAAATTCATTTGCTTAGCTTGCATACCAACTTAAGTGCACAATAGGTGAAAAATAAGTTATAGGAAGCTGGCGCAGTATCACCCTTTAACAGCGATAAATTAGATTGTCGACGTGATGAGGAAATGAAGATCTTAGATCAAGAAGAGCTTTCTAAAGCCGGCAACAATAGGAAGATTACACCGATTGAAACTTTTCGAGGCCATTTAAAACATTTTGCTTTACGGCTTTTTGTATTTCTTTCTTTATTTAAAATTATTTACGCATGTCTTGTGTTGCTCCACAATTTCAAATTTTCGACTTCAGTGTTAAGTTTAAATTTTCCCAAGATTTATTTCACCCATCTATAATTACATAAAGTGTGGCTTTCAAAATCGTATTGATTTCAATACACGAGTTTTCGCCAAAATTTGATATTTATTCGGGTCGTGCCGGAGTGTGTTGCTATAGCAATGTATACTTGTGTTACAAATCGCCGTAACCTCAACCGCGTCTAATTCATCAACTATATGAAATGCTGTCATCACTTGACTGTGGGCGATCTGGAATTACCCTCGAGTTAATTTAATTCGGAGGATGTTATTTCGTAAAGTTTCGCTCGGTTGATACGCGAAATAATTCACCGGGAGGATTTTGGACCTCCTCCAAGTCTGAGACGCGCTTGCATTTTTCCTAAAGGACTGACCGGATTCTAAAATATTGACTGTCGTTATGTGGCTTAATGCCACTCCAAAGTAGAAGAACAATTACTTAAAAGACATATTTCAAAATGTTGCAGGTCTGGGACACGAGCTCAAAAAAACACAAAACTTTAAACTTGCATTCGATTGTGCTTCATGTTTTTAACTTTTCCAACACTTTACATCCAGAAAAACTATTGTTTGACATTTTGGCCGACAACAAATTTTATTAAAATACTTAACCCTGTTTTATGTAAAATGATCCGCGGAGTTTGGTCGGAAACAGGAAGAAAAAACTAAAGAATCTTTTATTATTAGACTTAACAATTTTTTGCGTTCATCACAGTTCAAAACATTCGAAAACATTCATGAACCGTTGCTGCACGCAGTTAAAGAAACATTTTTTATATTTTAACACAGTCTGCGTTATCGCTATAAAACTCTACAAACTACAATATTGTTCAAGATATCGATTAAAGTTCATATGTTTATTTTAGGTTTTAGTTATTTAGGTACAAAATTCACTGCAGAATATTTTATGTATACTTAAGATTTTTTATTTATAAATTGATTTTGAATTTTTTAATTGTAACTTAAGTTAAAAAAAATATTAAAATTATTTTATTGTATACACTAAAAAGGTATCTACAAACAATTTAAAAAATTAAATGTCAAATCTTATATTTACCTTTTTATTAAAATTTATTGAAGTCTCGAATTATGGAGCATCGGCAACAGAATTTACTTAATGTATTGTAAGCAAGTAAATATTTTAGCCTTGAATAAGCTCTGTCAGTAATTTACTAGTAAATATTTTACTATCCACTCTGTAGCTATCAATCTTTAGTTTCATTGGCGACGACTATATTTTGTGATATATTTTTAGCAATAAAACTTGCAGTAAAAATGCAGCTGCACTCAAATATGAAATTGTGCATTTTATTCCTTCTTTTATCATGCTTACAGTAATTGCAGATAACTCAAAATATCTTAAAGTCAAAATAATCCAATAGTTTGACTCCATATGGACCCCATGCTGGATTAATTACAATATGCACGATAGTGTTTTGAAGACTAATTACGAATTTATCTGCTCCGTTAAGCTTAAAAGCTGCGGAAAGAGAAATGAAATAAAGTAGTGAACCAATTTTAATTTAAAAGGTTACCAGTTAGATTACTCTCATTTCCGGACCTCTCACCTGAATGTTCATTCGTTTTTTCTCTTCTCTTTTACCACTCATAATAATTCTATTCTCGTAAAGCAGCCAGTATCAATTATTACATCAAAAACGTAAAGTTTTAAGCCAAGTTTGAGTTTTTTATTTAGCGAATCGCCAAACTTATCAAATTTATTGTGGCCGTAAAGCCTTAAAAAAATGAGAAAAACCTTCCAGGTGTATTAACAAATCCATTTCATATCCTGTTCTCTGAACACTTAAGCGTTATGTAGGTCACGACTGGTGGATTTTCGTCGACTTAATCCGCTATAAAATATTTAAGATAAAGGGCGAAAGCGCAGTTATAATCTTTCGTGCAGATGTCGGATTGCACCTGAAGCAGGAAGAGGGCCTAATCATCAGAGAGACTGAAATTTAAAGTGATCGTTAACAAAACCCGCCGCAATTTAACTCGAAAATGTTCAAGAGCCATTGTTTAACGATGAAATATTCAAGTTTGTTAAAAATACACCGTCTCATGTCGAATCGTGATTGATTTCAGATCCTGAAGCAGACCTCGGAGATGAACTAAATGAGCTCGGAGCTTCGTTTTCTCCCGTCGAGAGTCCTCCAGTTCACTTTGCGACCGAAAATAGCACGGTCGTGACATCTCAAACAGGGTCAACGGCTCTAATACCGTGTGTAGTCAACAATATAGGAGATGGGATGGTAAGTAATAGTTTTTCTTATTCAAACAGGTACTCGGGATGATTGCTTGACCTAAAAGCGCCCGCGGGATTTAATTCCCCGGAAAAAAACACACTGCAAACGAACTTAAAAAGCACACAATCCTTTTACAAACGCATCAAACATTATTCATAAGACGACAGTTCCAACGCTTCACCACAAATAAATGCAGTTCTTGTTGACTTTTAATTTATATTTTAATATCAAAACACAAAACTCAATCTATCTTTTTGCCTTTCATAATCAAAATAAAATACGAGAATATTAGCCATTTAGCAGTTGGTGGCCGCTTTAAAGCCGTTTTTATGAAGCCAAATGTGTTTTTAAAGGTAAATTTAAATTACTTTTGTTATTCGTTTTGAATAAGTTTTTGACTGGGACATAATGGCTAACCGAAATACATCATAACTTCCCCGGTTTATTTGCTTGTTATACTTCTTCAAAATAACAATAATAATAAAGCTCCAACTCATTTATTTACCAAAAAATTACCGTCTTTCAAACCATTACAAGAAATAAAAATAAAGAAAATTCTAACATGGAAATTAAATAAAATACTACAAAATGAACGTCCATACTTACTCATATTTGAATTAAATTGTATTTTGGTTCTCATACTTAAAAATAGTTTTATTTCAAAATTTATGTATCTATAAACATTGATAACAATATAAAATATATCTCTAAATTGAATTTAAAATAAATTTGATCTTCTATATTCTCCATAGCCAGTCCGAACCTGGCATTGACTTTAAACACTGTTTTTAATCAAATTTTATCCTGCATTAAAAAGACTGTCAACTTCCTAAGAATTGTGTGTTAAAAGTTATATTTTGTAGAATTTCAAAATTGAATTAAACTTAAAAAAAATTACGAAAGCACACGTTTATTATAAAACCGTTAAATACAAGATATTGCCAGGTTTTCAGCATTTTTCAGAGTAAGTTTTTTATCGCTGAACTGTTCAGAGTAGCAGAAATTACACTGGTGTTTTTTCCAGAGTCCCTGTTTTTTGTGTGTGGTCCTTATTAGGCATTTAAAGTGTAGAGCTTTCATCTGCGGTGGCATGTTAATGATTAAACGCCTATCCTCTTAAGCAAAAAGCCAAGAGCTCTGTGAAAACAATAGCGCTAATTCTTCAAATCAAGCACGTGCTTGAGGCTTCCTCAATGATAAATTCAAATGTTTTAGGTCTCGTGGATTAGAAGAAAGGATTATCATTTACTTACTGTCGGCTTAACAACATACAGCAGTGACGAGAGGTTCCAAGCTATACATCTGCAACACTCAGGAGTGAGTAAAAACTTTACAACCTTGTTTTCATTACTTATTTTATTAATCTCAAATACTTAAACTAAACCGTGAATGTTTTATTTATGAAGCTCGCCATGTCTTGTTCTAAAAATTTTCATCAATATTTTCACGAAAAGTCGGTGGGTTTTTAAGATGTTTATGATCGATGGCGTAATTTAAAAACGTTTTACACTCGTGTCGGTAATATTACAACACTTTGGTGACACTGCATAAGAAGGATGAAAGTGAGGCCTATTCAGGTGTGTGAAAATTCGATTAAGTGGAATAAAAGTCGGTCGAATGTTCGCAAGAGATAGCGGCTGGAGCGCCGCCATGCAAGAAAATAAATTGGAATTAAATAAATGCATCGCAAAGTGATCTAGACGTGTTTAGTTGTCTTTTGTGGTGGGCCTACACGAGTGACAAAAGAGCGCACATAAAAGCCTTTTTAACGAGATTGCTCTTTTTGCTCTCGGCACTAGATTCACTTCTATTGGGAAAAGTGGTTTTTATTTGGGGCAGAGAGTGAATTCAACTCGACTTGTTTATTTTAGATTACTGATAGACCATTAGTTTTGCTATGCACTACGCGTTTTGCAGTAAATCAGTCCCTTTAAATCAAAAAAAGCAAATTCGATAACCTACTTAAAAAAAAACAATGGCTGCCAACTGAATAAACTAATTGCACTTAAGACTGACTTTTAAAATAATAAATTGGTAAATCTGAAAAAATTGTTTAATGTTTATTCTTTAATAGAGAGTAAGTAAACATTTACCACCATTTCAAAATATCTATCAACTTTAAAACAAATGATAAAAATTCAGATAATATGTTATTCTTGTATTTAAAAAATCTACTTAAAAATTCAATTTTTGATTTACTTACATACCTAAATTTTATATAAAAGCTAAAACTTAAAAAAAATTAAGCAAGCAAGCTCAAAATCTAAGAAAAATCAATAAAAGTGAATAAAAGTTTTATGATTTTGAGATAAAAATTTGAGTTATAGAATAATTGTTTTTGATCCTTAAGCACTATAATACCCACTAAACACAAAAGATCTTGTGAACAAGAAAATTTAAAATAAAGTGTGAAACTTTATATACTCAAAACTTTAAAATAACTGATAATATGATAAATATGAAAACAATATCTTTTTATAAACAAAATACTTAAACTGGAATACTATATTAAGGTACAAGTTGCAGAAGGTACTCGTATCTACTCAAGCACAAATTTGAAATTCCGAAACGAGCCGCGTATCGACGAGTTGAGGAACAAATGAGTGCTTGAAGAACCTTCTGCAACAAGTGCTTTATACTATTTTTTCTATTTTGCCGCTTTATATCATTTTATAAATTAAAAAACGAAAATTTTAATTTTTTTTCTAGAGAATTTTGCGACGGTGGCGACATTTATGTGAAATAATTTTAGGCGGCTGTAAAAAAATAATTCTTATTTTCACATTTGAAAATAAATTGTGAGAAAAATCCGTCACATAAATTAAGTTAACGCCAACGATTTATTCCAGCACTCAAATGACGTCATTTGGGTACTGGAATAGACTTATTATAACACCGAAAAATAATTTTACAATTTTAAGGCAGTGGTACAGTGATGGACAGTGAATTTCRTCCACCCAATTTCTGTGAATTCACAAAAATTTACTGTAGTCTGTGCTTTATTGTCATGATAACTGACATTCAAATACGTATTGTCAAATTTAATCAATTTCGAACATTCCAGCAGTAAGTGCGTTTCAAAAAATAAAAATTATCTCTCTGGTACAAGATGGTATGTCTCAAAGACGTGTCTCTATACTTTTAGGCATACCAAGGACTACCATTTCAAAGGACAAAGGTAAAAAGTAGCAAGAATCATCGAGTATGCTGTCAACATTACAAACGTTAATCAAAATTCGAGACAATGTTAGGAAAACCTAAAGACTAATTTACGCTTTTAATCTGTCAGGGAAATTGGGTGGACGTGCTCCATTAGTTTCATATTTTAATTTTTCTAATTTGCGTTTAGGTATAATACGTTTATTTACGTCTCTCAGTAGCAGTCGTTTATGGCTATCTATAAAAGCACACTATACTTTAATGAAATTAGGGTTATTTAGTTTTTGTACGCCGCTTCTGACTTGTCAGGTAACAAATATTTTTGCGTTGTTGCTTCGGCAATTTCGCAAATTTCGGGCGGAGTGCAAACTAAATTCTGTTGGCTCATATTTTATTTATTATTATTAAGTTGTAACACTAATAACTAATAAATTGTAAATTTTTAAAGACAGACGGCAGAAATGATTCAAAAAATCAGGTGGGCGCCGAGTGTTACCAACCGATACCAACTAACACAAAATTCTCTAGACGACAAAAATATATATTTTTTAATTAAAATAAGAAAAAAGGGGGCACAAATTAGAAAAAAGAGCATAAAATACTCGTCTTATAAGGGTTGATTTGGCGCACGAATCCCAAGTTAGAAAACGAGCCGTAGAACAAAACTTGTTCTTTAATATACTATTTTGGATGCGAAATCGCATTGTACAAGGTGTACGAGTCTCGTAATTTTACGTTTAATGATTGCAATTATTTGCAAAAGGTTATTGCATTTGTACGGTAGATTAGAATCTCGATACCCGACGCAATAATGTACATAATTGTGTTATTTTGCCTTTATGTTTGACGGACATACAAAGCTTTTCTATCAGATAATGAAAACGTGTTGTTATTATTAAAGCAAACGACATACGTTTCCGCGTAAATTGGGTTATATCTTCAAATTAAACAATTTAATATGAACGAAAATTTGAATCTTTGTTGCATTTTCGCTTTGTAACAAAAGACGATTCATTATATTTTAAAAGTTTCATTATCAAACCATTTACGTATATAAAGGCGAGTTCCGCCCCAAATACTTTCAAACGTATTTTAGCTATTGACTTTCAAGTGAAGTTTATTGAAATTTTAAACAGGAGCATGGAAAAGTTTTTTTTACATCGTATGGTGTAACCTCATTGTTGTGTCTCTTCCGGAAAGCTTTTTATACATCGAAATTTATGCTTTTTTCAGGATTGGACGCTCCAAATCAGATATGTACAAAATAGGGACGCTGGCTTGTATGAATGCCAAGTGTCTTCCCATCCGCCCACTAGCATTTTTATTCACCTTAATGTCGTCGGTAAGTCGTCTAGCTTGTATTAATGAATAAATTATTCAAAAAGGGTGACGCCGAACGCTTTAGAGGATTGAAATGTATAGGGAGGCTTTCAGAAAAAATTGCACATTAAAGTAATTCATGGCTTTGATGCACGACTGACAAATGCTCGCCAACATTTATTTTCTTTTGGTGTTCTTACCACTGACACGTAAAATTCAAATTCTAAGATAAAAGATGCAACATCTTAAAAATAGTTGTTAAAAAAATCTTTAGATATTACTCTGAAAAATAAGTTTTATAAAAGTAAAAATCAAGAAAAATTTTTGTATTTTTTTATTTTCAGTTATATAGGATAATTATTTAATCAATTATTAAAGCTATTGTTGACTGATTAATAAATAAATATGCAGTAATAATAAAAAAGCATCAAAACCACCAAAAACGAAACCACCCAATTTGTTTCTAAACTAATATTGTTTTCTTGATTCCGACAAAAACCTTCGATTCTCCAGTCAAATATCTCTCCCTTTCAGAGGCGCGCGCTGAAATTCAAGGACCTTCTGAGAAATACCTGAAACCAGGCTCAGGTCTACGTCTTCAGTGCAATGTCTTACAAAGCACCGAACTGCCAACTTACGTTTTCTGGTATCACAACAACCGCATGATTAACTACGACGTCGATCGAGGAATCAACGTCACAACTACCCTATCTGAAAAAAACAGCATCCTAACAATAACTAGTGCTGCGACACATCATTCCGGAAACTATTCTTGTGTTCCTAGCAATGCTCAACCTGCGAGCACTTACGTGCACATATTGAACGGTAAAAATTATTTTCATCATAACGGGATTTTTATTAAATGTTTTGCAGGAGAGAATCCTGCTGCGATGCAGCATGGAGCCAGAGGACTGTCGTGGCTTCAGTGCAGTCCTTCGTCCTGGCTGCTCGTACTTTCCATCGTCAACATCATGTGCTAGTTGCAACTGATAACAGGTCTATGAGAGGCCTAAAGTTATTTCATAAACATCTAAACAGACTAATTGGAGTGTGTAGTGAGAAATTAACAAATATTTATAAAATAAATTGGGACAAGTGAAAGCCAAAAAGGCAGAAATTTTTGTTCAATTGATTAACAAACACAAATTATGTTATGGAAATTAATGAAATTGCCAGTAAGTACCAACACTTAGTTATTAAAATTGTAAATAATTTTTTTGTGGTGCAGTGATCTTTTAAGAGTTGCAAAAGTTTTGAAACTTTATGTCACAAGTTAAAGGCTTCTCTGTACATAAAACCACATCATAGCGTAAATAAAAATGTGTATAAATGTCACATTCCATTTATCACTTAAAACTGATTGTGTGATAAGTATACTTATAGATATAAACAATATTAAATTTTTACATAATGTTGTTAATTTAGGTATGTTTTAAAACCTGTTATGGCTGTTATTTTATTATGTATTTAATCATTGTAAATGTAAAAAATATTTATTTAATAAAAACTGTACAGAACGTGGCATGTTTGGAATTCCCTCAACATTTGCGCTTCACTTTCGTTTGTACTTTTACATACAAATTAGCCTGATCTGCGTTCGAGGGAACACATGAGTAATTTCCCGTATGGCTGAGTTTGGCGGTTGGAAAAATCAGTTCGCTGCCTTGCCGACCTTCCCTTATGCTCTCCCCATCATCCAGATCGTAATTAATCATCCGATTCTCCTTGTACCAAAAAATATATTTCGGTGATTCAATCGAGTTGACCAAAAAGCAGCTAAGTCGTAGAGTTGTCCCAACTTCGACCAGACGCGTCCCATCGGGGACACTCCCTTGTATAACAGCGGTCGCTTCTAAAACCCAAAGTGACTCAAAAGTTCCTTAACCACATTTCCTCACTTTGCAAATGCAAAAAAACGAAAATGCTCGCTTCGAAATCTCCCTCGACCCTGCATTTGTATAGTCCAACATCGCTCGGTTTCGTGTATTTTATTCGCAACAACCAAAGCTGAAATTGCGTTTTGATCGAGTATCAGATTCGACTTAAAGTACTTACATTCGTGTTTTCGTCTTTTAGTCGCGCTTGGAACCGTTTGTCGCCGGTGTTTGTTCTATTGTTTGTCGTCAAAAGTGTACTGGAATTTACCTTCCACCATGATACCTGAATTGATTAATATTTTAATTAACACTTATTAAATTTTATGGGGATTATCTATTTGGGTTGTAAAACAAGTTTTTCATGTTTATGAATATTTTATTTTATCTGAAGCCTTCCACAAAAATCGTTGAATTTGTTTTTGGACTTACATTTAAAGCTGCTGTTGGATATTTGATGAAACACTGGAGTTCTGCTGTTGATCCTAACTGAGCTGTTTCGTTTGTGTTATTTGCACTTTCGAATACATTAAATGGGGAAATTGGGAAACTTTCTGAAAGAGAATTATTCAGAATGTGAATATTGTAGTTACGTGCAAGAATTACACTTTAAAAACTTCAACACAAATGTTTAATTGTTAGAAATAATAGGAAAAAATAATATTTTAAATCCACTAGACAAATGTTTTATGGATTATTCTTCAGAATTATAAGAGTCTTGCAAATTCGGAAACATCATTTTTACTAATATCTCCGGATTATATTAGACATAAGCTCTTAGGTATTAGGTACAACATTAAAACCGTTGCTCATTTTCTATTTCATGACAAAAATATCTTAGTTTTATAATAGGACTTAGTTGCTGAGTAAAATAAGTGATAAAATCTAATCAACCTATTATTAGTTCTTTTGTACCTACTTTCTAATAAAATTAATTTCAAAAGTTCAGTTGTTACATATTTGGATAAATCGGATAAATACAACAAAAAATGCCTAAACCGCAAAACTTAAATTCCTATTTGAGGGCAAACATTTTATTGTTTTGGCGAGCAGTGTATTCAATAAAACCAATAAATATACTTATGATTATCTCAAAAATAATACCTACAATTTCTAAGAAAATTTCATTAATTATTGCTTGATTGAGTATTTTTTGCTCAAATACATAATTATAAGTTTACTTATTATATCATGCATTTCGATTTTTCTTAATAAAAAAATAAATAAAGAACTAATATTCTTTAGCAAGGTTACACAACAATCGAGATTAAACATAAAACTTTTCGCTTTTTGTTGGCAAAATTTTGTTTTATGTAGCTCTTTATGTTACCTCTCTTCTAGTTAATTCTTCTTTGTTAAAAATTAAATATGACAAGCACTAAAGAAAGAATGCGTTCAATTTCGCTCAACTGTCATCAAGTGTTACCATCCCAGTCTCGAATTTAAACTCCACTACAATAGTGAAACCAACTTCTCTCACAGTAGCAAGCTCCACAAATGTTTTAAATAAATTAACTCGATTTAACGTAAGCCTCGCTCGGCTTCATCCATGATAAACACCGAATATTTTGTTTACATTACGATTGGTTCAGTTTTATTAATTTAGCAATAAATCCCACTTCTTAACGACTATAGAAGCGAATCTCTGGATTGTTGCAGTTACTACTAATAACGCGAGATTATTAATTATGAAGAAAATTACAACACACTCACCGGGCTTTCTGCCAACATATTTCCCTACTCTGCAGTATGAACTCGCGAGAATTACACCAAAAATAAAAAATACGAAGCAACGCTTCATTTTATTATTTACGACAGATCTCAGTGCACCTTTTCAAATATTTATTAACATATATCTCCCTCTATATTTACATGTTATGTGCAAGAATATAAGAGGATTGGCTGGACCTCGTCGTGATAAGAATAAATACCAAGGTGACAGAAATCAATAGCAGAAGTTTAAAAACGTACTTACCTAATTGTCAAGCATTGCATGTTTGTATTTTATGACCACTCCCTATATTATAGGTAACACGAGCCATTAATTGATAATAATTTTTGATATTCCGTTACAAAATCATTTTCAGAGTTGTAAAAATAGATAAGTAACAGGTATTTATTTTCTGTTTCGTATAAAAATCCGGTTCAGAGCCATCGACAGAAGATATAAAAGTGAACTTGAAGCTGACACTACCATTAGAGAAGTAGGTGGTCTTCTAGTAACTTTCACAAATTATTGTTGTATGAAAGTGTCACAATCTACTGTGGTGAGTAGTTTTATTTTAGTTATATGCCAGTGTTTCAATAGTTTTGGGTCAATAACAACTTTATACGTTATGTTCTATGTTCAAGAATGCGTTCATAATTTTAGATGAGTTGTATAAAATATTTTTTTCCAACTGGAATTGTTGACGTATTGGTATAATTATATTCATTATTATAGTAATGTAGAAATGCATTCGTAGAGGTTTTAAATAACTCTTCAAAACATTACCTATTGCACTTTGTCGGCTTGTTATAAATTAATAAAATAAATTTTAGGTAAATAAATAAATCATCCTAGCGATATAAAAGTACTTATTTTTATTGTTTTCATTGATGGTATCTGGTATCGATTGATTGATAATATTGGAAATGTTTTTAAGCAAACAAGATAATGGAAGTGTAAGTACTTAAGTTAAATTAAGACAATAATAACTAACTTTATAACTTTGACTTGAATATAAAAGTTCCCATAAGAATAAAAATTAAGAACTAAAAATTTGGACAAACAAATTACATTAATCTGTAATTTCTAATGAAGGAATGTTTTTGTAGGTGTGACTATTCAGACAATTAAAACAAAGTAAACTTTTATGTGATGTTTCCATAGATTTAATCAGAATTAAAAAATGAGTTTTAGAGGTTGTTTTTTCTGACATTTAATCAAAAATGAATCCTACTTGCAATAACATCTTAAAAAGAGTTGCAAGAAAGAAGTTGCGCATTATTTTCTTTATTTTATGTATAGTAAATGTTCAAATATTTCAAAAATTGTTTTCTTACACCGACAGACTTAAACAAAAAAAAATATTAGGTCGACATAAAATGGTAGTTCATGAAAAAAAAATGCCCCAGTAAGTATTCAACATTTATTTTTGACACAAATATGTTTTATCTCTCGTTGATAAACTAAATGATAAATTCTCGTATTTGCCCCTCCTTACACAGAACCATCGCAAACAATTCGCAAACAAGTCCAAATCGAGTTCTACCACAACTTGTTTATCCTTGGGGTCATCAACTTTATTAAACCAACACGTTTTACAGATGAAGCACCCATTAGCCACATATTTACTTTTCCTCGCGCTATTCAAAAATATCAGGTAACAACACTCGACACTTCAAAAAACCCACACAATTGTTCCGCAAATAAATAATTAACTTTTAGTGCTGTAAATGGAGTATGGCGCTGGGAATGCAAAAACAACTACTGCCAGAAGGCCCCCATCACTCCCGATACAGAAGCTACAGGCCTAAGTCTCCCGGCATGTCGTCTGTTTTGCTCCGAAGCGGCAGCCCTTTGGCCCAAACCGACCGGTGAAGTCCACGTAGGGACCACTCTTGTCAAAGTCAATATCAACAGTATAAGCTCTGAGGGGCTAAATTTTGAAGCACCAGCGCATAAAATCGCCTCGGGAGCGTTGGACCGGTTCAGAAACCAAATCGATGCGTTGTTGCCTCAAAAACTGAGACTCGCATATGGGGGGAAAACCCTAGAAATTAATTACAAGTTAACCAATCCTGATGTTAAAGAACTCAAACTGGATACGAAAGAAGGCTACGCTTTAACGGTTACTGAGACGGCCGATGGGCGCCTAAATGCAACGATTATCGCTGATAATGTCTTCGGAGGCCGAAACGGGTTGGAAACCCTAAATCAACTAATCATTTACGATGATCTCAGAGAGCAAGTTTTGATGCCCAACGAGGTGAGTATTACTGACGAGCCAGCATATCCGTACAGAGGGATAGCCTTGGATACCTCCCGGAATTTCGTCACTGTCGATGTTATAAAGAGAACGCTAGATGGAATGGCCGCTTCAAAATTGAACAGTTTCCACTGGCATATCACAGATAGTCATAGTTTTCCCTTTGTGTCAGAGAGTTTGCCAGATTTGGCCAAATACGGAGCATATTCGCCCAAAAAGGTTTACTCTCCGGAAGAAGTGGCTGAAATTGTGGAATATGGTCTAGAGAGAGGTGTCAGGGTTATTCCGGAATTTGACGCCCCAGCTCATGTCGGTGAAGGGTGGCAGAACACGGATTTCGTGGTATGTTTTAATGCCAAGCCGTGGAAGGACTTCTGCGTGGAGCCACCCTGTGGCCAGTTTGACCCCACGAAAGAAAAGCTGTACGATGCTGTTGAAGGTAATTTTTTATTTAATTGCTCTTGACAAATAACAAAAAAGTAATATAAAATAACATAAGTATTACTTATCTATTACTAAAACGCGATAGCTAACGTGAAAAACAGTTACTTTAATAATTAGTTAATACCTAATATACTTGTAAATAATTTCTGGATTATAAAAAACGCCACAAGCCATAATTTCATTTTTTTTAAAGGTAACGTATGCACCTAAAGTCTTTTTAAACCTTTTAAAGCTTTAAAAAAATTCGAGTTCGTAATTGTTTCTCATTTCTGACCTCTTATCTCTTGTGCACTTTCCTGTTCAATATTGACCAAAACTCTTCAATTGATCGAGCCTGAGGTACATTGGAAAGATTGTCTATTTTAGGTACAAAAATTTATATTGCTTTCGTCAAGACAGTTTATACCTTCTCTACCATTGCCGCGGCAGGTCAAAACACTACATCATCATTGGCATGTGTGTATTTAAAACTTCATCGAATTTAGAGAGACATCTTTGAATATAAGTGGTCTTTGAAACATCGAATCTTCGATCTAATTTTTATTCTGAAACTCCAACTTTGTTTTTAACGGCTTCAATCATTCTTTGTTTCCCCAAAATTTTGAACCAATTAATACAGAGTGTACCCTTTGCTTTATGGTCAGATAAATTGTTGTTACAGAAATATTTTGTTCACTATAACAATTTCACGCTTAGGCATTTGCCTTAGGCCTTAGCCATTGTAAATGGCTTAACGAATATTTAGCTTATAACACATTTTAACGAGAAATCGAAAAATAGTCAAATATACCTACCATTTAAAAAAATGAAATTGATGTAGCTTTCTACCTTCTACGCTTTTTTTTTTCAGTGAAACAGGGAGTAGCATTGATTGAGCATCTATCCCAAAAAATAGACGTCAATAAACTTTTCAACTTTGTTTTAAGAAGTATGTATTGTCATACTCGTATCTTTAAAAATAATGAAGTTATGGCTTGAGGCGTTTTTCATAATCATAATACTTAATTTAAAAAGTTCATTGTACCTATAAAAAAAATGTAACTCCTTTATTTAATATTTTTCGATGCATATTTATAGGAAACTTTTATCTTAAAATTGAACATCGTATCACCTGCTCAAATTTGTAACAATAAAAACGGAACAGCCTGTATAATGCTAGGAATTTACGAGTTAAATGCATAAAAATTTTAGCATGTAAAATATTTGATTTTTAAATTTTATCTTGTCGAGGAATGGTATGTTCGCTATGTCAATGGAAGTGAATTCTTATAAAAATAATCATTTTATTACAGAAAAATTCACATTCGATAGATCGTTTTTAGAAACAAGCAATTTTTTCATTAGTCTAAGGAATATTAAATTCATATAATGAAACAGTTATTATTATTACTTATGAAAGAAATAATATGTATATCATATTCAGAGATCTGAAAGCAAAAATTACCTACACATTGCATTTAAAAACGTCCTGTACTCCTGACTGAAACCTTTTATCATTATTGTAGGCATTTATGGAGACATGTTAAAGCAATTCCAACCCCCTGTGTTCCATATGGGTGGCGACGAAGTCCATTTCGGTTGTTGGAACTCCACTCCCCACATCGTCAAATGGATGCAAGAACAAAAGGGTTGGGGCCGGTCCGAGGAAGATTTCGTCAAGCTTTGGGACATGTACCAAAACGAAAGCTTGACTCGTTTATACAAAAAAGCGGGGAAAGAAATTCCTGTTATTTTATGGACTAGTACTCTCACTCAAAAACAGTATCTTGACCGTTTACCCAAGGATAAATATATTATTCAAATATGGACGACCGGAGGAGACCCACAAGTCAAAAATTTGCTCGATAATGACTACAGAGTAATTCTGAGTAATTATGACGCTCTCTATTTCGATTGCGGCTTCGCCGGCTGGGTCACCGATGGGAACAACTGGTGCTCGCCATATATCGGATGGCAGAAAGTTTACGAGAATAAACCAGCCAAAATTGCCGGTAGTATTTTCAAGATTAAGATTCAAAAATAATATTGTAATTGCTTTAAGGTGATAAAAAGAGCCAAGTTTTGGGGGCCGAAGCTGCTCTTTGGACCGAACAGGCTGACAGTGCGAGTGTCGATACTCGAATTTGGCCCCGAGCGGCAGCTTTAGGGGAAGTACTATGGAGTGAGCCTACGAGTTCTTGGAGAGAAGCCGAGCAAAGAATTTTGGTACAGAGGGAGAGACTGATTAATTTAGGGATAAATTCAGATGCTCTTGAACCTGAATGGTGTTTTCAAAATGAAGATAATTGTCCGACTGGTGAGTTTGATGAGTAATAATTGTGTATGTGTGAGGAAATAAATGTGATTTAAATTGTGTCTTGCTGCTTTTCTCTTTTCCTTAGCTCCCTCCCTATCTCTGGCTCAAATATGTAAGTGACAAAAGTATGTACTTTTTCATTTACAGAATATAAAATATAGATTGATTAATTAATTAATTATCAAATTATTGCATTAGTTTTCTAATATTTTTGCCGTAGGTATTTAAAAATCAATAATTTCTTAATAATATCGAACAAAATAATTTTCAGTCAAACGCACAAAATTTTCTGGTTTGAATCATTAATGCTTATGCTTATTAAATGTTGTTAAATCTACACTTTAATCGTTGTTTGTGAATTCAAAAAAAATTTCTTTGAATCCCATTTCGAACGAATGTGTACACCAGAGAGAAAAAATTAGGTCAAATTGACAGTAGATCTCATAGTAAGATCCAAGTTCAAAATTGCAAAATCTGTTCAAAGAGGTTTTTTTAGTCTAGTAATCACTTAAATTATCTTTATTTGAACAAATTTCTAGCCGACGACCATAATGAAGATGACAATTCAGGGAATGCATCAGTAAACTTAATACCCATATTGCTCCTAATAATGAATGTTGTTATACCTTTGTTTCAGCACTAATTATTTACTTTGAAAATTTGTAAATTACTAAGTGAAAATAAATACATAATACTACCACAACTGACTTTTATTATTTATTTACACTCTCAGAACAGAGTCAGATTTAAAATGAAGAAAAAGTGACAATTCAAGCCTCTATTAGACTCATCACATGGTAAGCTCCATAATTGCGTTGACTATATCATTACAATTGTTTTTAAGTGCCTTTATGGCCCTTACTCTACTAACATTGGCTTGTGACATAACTAATTCAACATCCTTTTCTTCAACACCAGTCTCATCAACTTCCTCATCCTCAGATTCTTCAGCAATCGGTGCAACTGACGTGGGGTTTCCAGACGCACCTTCTCCAGCAGGATTGACTTCCTTGAATTTCTCAGCGGCGGCAACTTGCGCCTGCTGAGACAGATCCTCTATTTTAGCTTCACCAAATACAATATAAGTATCACTGACTGGATTCTTGTAAACATCTGGCTTGTTTATAACAAAAAGAATATTTTTTGATTTGCGAATAGTCACCCTGTTCACTCCAGTCACCTGAAACAAGCACCAAATTAAATACTCGCCCAACAAGTCACTAATGAATAATTTTTTTGTCAAAAATTGGGTCAGTCTGCCAAGAAATTAATCACGAATAGTAATAATCAGCCAATAAAAGCGAAACCTTGGTTTATATCATCATGAGTCATGTACATAATACATTCCAAGAAACAGGTGATAAACTTACTGGTTTAAGTCCCAACTTGGACATAATTTTCCTCGCTTTCTTTTCTCCGCGCGACTGTTTGGCCTTCGAGACCATATCAATGGGTAAACCAGCGGCAGCAGCCCCCGGAAAAGCACTAGTTCCGCTGTTGGCAGCCCCTGCATCTTCCAATTCGGGAATTTCATCTTCAGATTCACTGTCCGTAGACGAAGCACTTTGTTCCGGCTTGGGTTCAGGAACAACCGGTTTTTCTACTTCCGTCATTTCAGGCATTTTGTTCTATATACTGCAAAAACATGAAAAATGTGCAAGTTGCATAATCAAAACAAAAATAAGCGTATTTCACCGAAATAAGGTTAGCGGTTTATTGGGTGATAATTAGACGAATTCTGCACAAAAAATGGGAACAGTGTCAATAGAAATGCACTTCATAGTGTTTTCTTGATAAATAAATGGAAGATGATTACAATAAATAACGAAACTTACCGGAAAACCGAAGGAAAGCCAATTCCTTGACAAAAATCGAAACAAGAGAGGGTGGGGAAGTTTGAGAACTGTTTTATCGGCAGGCATGGTTTAAAAATAAGCGCTAAATTATTTGATTTTTTTTATGTTCTTTGTTAAAAAAAATATTAAAAGTTAGGTTTTAAATTAAGTAAGACATATCAATGTCTAACAAATCAGTTGCATCAAATCTATAATTTATATAAAAAGTTAAAACCTCGAATAGACAACTGAGATGCAACTGTTTGCTAAAAAATCCATAAAATATAAACAAAAAGATATTTTAGAAAACTCAAATAAAAGGTTATCAATTAACAGTAAACACACTTTCCAAGGATTAAGTAAATTTTATAAATTTCTATAATTACTGGTTTTACAAAAAAAGTATTGTTGGTTGCTATGGTTCTAAAGTAATTTTAAAAAATGTTCAAAAATTTTCGATTCATTTACATAAAATAATACAATATCAAACACAACATTTGATCTGAAACTTTAACCGACAAAAACAAAGAACATGCACTTGTGCTTAGTTTATTATCAGCATTATCTCTATGATGGTTTAAAGATTATCCTATTTTACAAATACAAATTTTTTGTCTTTTTGAAATACAGATGTTTTTAATAATTCCAGCTCTTATTCAATGTTACTGCCACTACAAAAAATGCCTACTTATGTAAACTGTGATTTTATTAATTTATTTAATCTGATGTACCTATTTTATGTACGCTGGAAGTGTTTCTTAAAAAAAAAAGCAGATAAGATTAAGTAATGTGAAGGAAATTGATCAGATAAGTCAACTTTGCAATCACGTATCAACTCAGGTATGCGAAATCCTGGTTAAAATATAAAAATGTTTGGTTGTGGGCGTAACAGAATTAAAGAAGACGATGCAGAATATGAACACGATAGACGTTTCAAAAAATCAACCAAACTGCTACTTTTGGGTACAGGTGAATCTGGGAAAACTACAATCATTAAACAAATGAAAATTTTGCACATTAATGGATTTTCAACTGAGTAAGTAGGTATTTTATTTTGATTCACATGAAATTTAAAAAATTGAAATGTAGAGAAAAGAAACAGAAAATTCCATATATTAAGCAAAATATTCACGAATCCATCTACGATATTGTTAACAACATGGATAAAATTGATCCTACTGTAAAACTTGAGAAGAATGAAAATGAAGAATGTGCGAAATTTATTTTAAATTTGGGGCCAAAAGAACCTGAGGAATACACTGAGGTACAAAATTAAGTTAATAATTATTGTACAAAAACACTGTATTTCTGTTAATAGGAATATTTCGATTATGTGAAGAGTCTTTGGGGCGATCAAGGTGTGCAAAAAACGTTCGAGCGCTCAAATGAATATCAGTTAATAGATAGTGCCCAACAGTAAGTGTTTAACTTGTTAAAAAAAACAATTTTCTTATAAATATAAACAGTTTCTTAGATCGTATTGACGAAATTAGAAAACCCGACTACATCCCATCAACTCAAGATATTCTGTTTTGCCGAATTCGCACCACTTCTATTTCAGAAATTGAATTCAGTGTCCCAGTACCCAAAATGTACGGTGGCGGTAGTGCCAACTTTTTGATGTACGATGTAGGAGGCCAACGAGGAGAACGCCGAAAATGGATACAAGTATTCGACGGAATTGACGCTATTTTATTCATAATTGCGGCAAGTGATTTTGATCAAACTCTAAGAGAAGATGAATCGAAGAATCGGCTTGAGGAAGCTTTGTCGGTTTTCAAAGATATGTGTGGAAGCCGGTTTTTGCGAAAAGCTGGAATGATTGTATTTCTCAACAAACAAGACCTCTTTCAGAGAAAACTCGAGCAAGGAAGAAGATTGGAAAAGTACTTTCCCGAGTACAATAGTTTTAATAAAACTTTCACCTCTGATGTCGATAATGGAAAAGCTTTCTTAGGAGAGAAAATAACACAAATGTCGAAAACAGAAGTAACAGTAAAAAATTATAATCCAATTACAAAAACAGTGTCTGAAGAGAAATTGCCTCCCAGAGACATTTACATTCACCATACTATCGCTACAGACACTCAAAATGTTAAAAAAGTGTTTGATAGTGTCCACGAAATGATAATTAAGGAAAGAGTAAAAAACATTGCAAGCTATTAATACAAATTTATGAATTACAATACAATCTTACACAATTATTAATTACTTAAGCAAAGACCACTTGAGTTGTTCTTTAGCTGACTGTATTACCTACAAATAAATGTATTCTGTTATTAAATAAATGTAATAACTTTTCTCTCATACATTAAACAAAATATAACAAAAGCTTCACCAAAAAATTGAATGCACTGCGTTAGTTACCTGAGCTACAGTTTGCTCTCCTAATGGAATATCGTCGTTTCTGAGGGCCACTCGCGACACTACTGAATTTGAATCAGCGTCAATAATAATACTGAAATATAAAAATGTATTACCTTCCTGCTATTGAAAAGATAGAGCAACTTACCCTCCATCACAAATTTCATCCATTGCCAACATGACTATATCAAGAGAGTCCAAAACAGCCCTTTTTTCGACGTTTTTGCGCAAAATTTGACTCACAGAGTCGTAGAGACAGTTCAAAACGCTCATGAGAATTAACTAAAACCATGTATAAATAAAACATAAAATGATAGAGCTGAAACTTACTTCATTTTCATGTGAGCTTCCCATAACATAAAAAAATAAATCAACGTTGCTGCGATAAACACAAGTTAAACCATCTAACATGATTATTTCAGCATTAGCTCTGTGTGTCTTGTTGAAGAGATTTTTCTCAAAGGCTCTCTGTTCCTTTGCGGTGGAAAAAACATTTTTGTCATAATATTTCGCCAAAATGCGGTTGCCATCATTGTCAAGAATTGCAATTCCTTTAACCATATACAACGTTGGCTCCTGTGGAAATAATTATTAATCTTGTGGGGTACCAAAAATAAAATTCGCACATACCAACAATGCTCCTTCCATTTTTTTGTGCTTGTAATAATTAATTAACGTAACAAAATGTATTTTGTTTCATTAAAATGCTAAATGTGATCTGTAATATTGATCAGCTATAATTTATTTTGGATTTTATTCCGAAATTTGACGTGTCTACAATGTGACAGTTGGAATAGAGAATTTCTGTTTGTGATGTTGTTAGTTGGTTGTCATCTGTCAAATAAAATTCGAAAATTGTTTTGATTTTCAAAAATACGACACAATGGATCAAACAATAATTCCTACAACGCAGCAAAATATCTTCCTTTTTCAGTCATACTGTAGCAATGCCCAAAGGCAAGAAAATGGTGAATGGCTGTATTCTATAGAAAAGTGCATTCACGAATTTAGAAATGAGTTTCCTACGGCCACGTTTTCCGATGAGATGCTAAGAGAATACGTGCCCCAGTTGCTTGAACGTCTTCGAACAACTGGTAGTGTAAGAGAACCCGAACTGCCAAATTTGGAAATTTTTCTGACTTCAGAGAAAGTGGAACTGATTAAAGCTCTCGTTGAGGAAAACCCCAAAATGCCTCCACGAAAGTTATCTAAAGTCGTAGGTATAGAAAAATATTTTGTGTTTAATACTTGGAATAAATTTGTTTATTTACTAGGTTTACCCGCGGCAACTTGTAAAGCGGTCATTAAAAAAATTGAAAAAAATATGATGTAACTAATTTATAGGTATAATTATTAGATCTTTAAGGTAAGAAACTGTGTAAACTCCAGGTTTAGTAAATAAGAACTGTTTTCTTTTGCTGATAATATTTTTGTTAGAAGAAATAATAAAAATTCCTTTCATATTTAAATAAATTTTATTTATTTTGCGTACCAATACTGGTTGATTCATTACATGTGAGTTCACATAATAGGTAAGTCTTTAATCAATACTAATACCTAAATAGCAGCAGAAAGAAGAAAAAAGATGATGTCGATGTATTCATTATAAAAAAGTCTCTGTAAGAAACGCGCAATATCAAAAACCAGATAAAATAAAAAACAGCCAATAAAATAAATTACAAAAATCATTAATCCCTAAACATATTCTTAAGATCATGTTCAAACAACGCAATCAACGTCATTATCCCAAACCCCAATAACAGCCCACTCAAATGCAATATGCACTGAATCAAATTCCCTTCATCTTCATGAGCTGAACTCAACTCTGGAATCATATCCACAAGCGCAATATAAATAAACGTTCCTGCTGCCACTGCAAACACCCACGAACTGGCAACTTCGGTATTCCCTAAAATCATAAACATTGAAATAAATAACAAAAAAAGACGGTTTTTGTCAAGAGGTACCAAACGTTGCAGTGAATTGATACCCCTTTAGAAAAAAACATCCAGTACTACCACACTAACCTAAGTAAACTCCCAGTAAATTCCCCAATACGCACAAGATGCTTGAAATGATATTATAAAACAGCGCCTGCTTGATACTCATCCCGGCTTTGAGCAGCATGGCAAAGTCGCCTACTTCATGAGGCAACTCGTGACAAAAGACAGCCACGGCGGTGGAAAAGCCGCCGGCAGCACTCCCAGAAAAGGCAGCTCCTATCGCCATACCATCAGTGAAATTGTGAAGACCATCACCCATGATCACCATCCATGCAACCGACGAGAAGTTCTGAGGCGCGGCATGGACGTGGCCGTGGAGGTGAGAGTGGCCATGGTGAACAGCCCCATGTTCGGTTATAATAACCGTATAATCGGCTTCGGGTTCCTCCTGAGGTGCCATTTCAATGTGTGGAAGCATTTTGTTGACTTCGGTGCAGTTGTTGGAAGTGTTCAGATCGCTGGGACATTCGGTAAGATTCTGGTTGGTTTCACCGTTCTCACAGTCTTTGGTTATAGCAGTTTCGGCCGAATCGCTCTTAGACGCTTGCTAAATATTGTGCGTGTATGAATAATAAATAAATAAATCCTTTAAATGTCTAGTGTAAATTTTGTTTACAAAGTTAGTAGGAAAAACAATGCCTTAAAATAATTGGAAAACAACTACATCTCTCGCTTTGTAAACAAGGAATTAATCATTTATTCAATTATTACTATTAATCGTTTTCACTCTTATCACACAATGTACCAACAAATCAACATTCCAGTACAAAACACAAACATTTACGTTTATATCACACTTTACCTGTTTCGCAGCCTTCTTTTTGCGACTGTTAAGTAACTCTTCGAGAACATTCGAGGATTCCCCAGCTTCCAAAAATGTGGTATCTGAAACTCAAATCATAAGACGCGGACCGCAGACTAAACACGCAACACTCACTTGGATCATCAACAATATCCTTGTAGCACCTAGGATACGCATTGTACTTATCCATACATTGGGTATCACCCGTTTTATTTATATCTAACTTACTGTTCAAAACTTTGACATGAGAATGACCCTAAAACATTGTATTATTTCTCCAACCTCCACAAATAAACATCATATATACTTTGCTAGGCTTGCCCTTACGCCATCTATGAACCAAAGGAATAAACCTCTCCATCACGAAAAACAGTATCAAGCCGAGCATCGCAACGAAGCCTTTCCACATATTTTCGTGGCTTTCGCCGTGATCATGGTGGTGGCCGCTCATAGCATGAGGTAAAAGGTGTAAAAGAGCATCTCCAGCGAGAGTACCGACGGCTAAAGCCACCAGAAATTGTAAAAGTGGTTTGTAGAATTTTTTCTGCATGACGGGGATTATCAAAAGGGAAAGAACCCCACAAGTGCTGATCACAAAAACAGCACACATTGAGTACAGCCACGTGGTTACGGTAATTGTCATTGGTTGGACCGTGTTTTGTTCCGTTTGCGGCTCACAACTTCCGGAAATAATCGAGTAAAGGAGGGCTGGGCATGCTGCTTCTATTGTCGACGAATTGAACGTTTCAGTCGAATTTGATAAATTTTTTAAAGCGATTAATGCGTTATTGACGACACACTAAAAACAAAATAATAATAAATAAAAGACTGGCGGTTTGGTTTTTGTTTCGCTTCCTTACCGTGTCATTGGTGTCACCCTTGGAAGCCTCATGATGCGCAATTGTCTGTATTTCAAAAACGTGTTCTAACATATATCGGAAACCTTCTAACGTTATTGTTTTACCGTCACCGTATTTATCGAAAAGTTTTTTTAAATAAAAGTCTTTATTTTTAATATCATTGTCATCACTGTGTCTTTTATTAATAATATGTTTATCGTCACTTATGGTTAAAACACTGTTGTCCCAGGGTTCTTTCTCTTTGAATTTTTCACGTTTGAGGAGTATTGGGTCGTGTTGTAGGTTTATTTGAGGGTTTTCGTGAGCCACAGCTGCGTGAGAACCACAAGGGGAATGGGTGGCACAGATGAGACAAAAGACACAGACGCTTAAGACGTGAGATGCCATCGTGATCTGAAAAAAAGAGAGACTTTTATGAAATTATGAAAAACTTGTGTTGAGAAAAGAGAAAGTTGATTTGTGATTTATATGGAGGATCGGTTGTAGGAGATGGTTTCACTAGAATGTGAATGAATGAAAGTGAAAATATTTAAAGAATAAATTGGATTTTATTTGTTGCGTTGGTAATAAAAACAATTACTTGTACAACTATTTAGTAAATAAAATCAGATAAATAATAGCTATTTATGTTATAAGTACATAATATGTCTTCGTCGACCAGCCCTATAGGGCATGACCATATGTAAAATGTTATTAATAAAAAAGAAACATACCAGGTGAATAAAAAGTATGGAACCAAGCGTTTTTTTCGTAAACTAAGCACTTTACAAAAAAAATTATTAGTGTAACGTAAAGTCCAATTAAAATGTGACCATTTATCAAGAATAACATTTTTCGAAATTTCTTTTAGTTTTCGAGTTCTGAAAAATTTTTTTTTTTTAAATGGCAACCCAGTATGGTAATTTTTTTAATTAAAGGTTATGATCTAAAAATGACCTCTAATTAAACATAATTGTTTTCTAGTCAGTACTTTTTTTTAAATAAATTGTTAAAGTTGCGTTCCGAGCCCATCACGAAGATTTTCAGAACTTGAACGAGGGAGTCGTTTCATAATTTTGGTCGTTGGAGAGCCCGGTTTTTGGTGCAGGTGCTTTGGGGTGGTTCTGGATGGATGAAAAAATGTAAAAAACAAATCATTTTCTTCTATTTTCAGTCCATTCGAAACCACCCCAAAGCACCTGCATAGAAGTCAGCGCTCTCCCATGATGAAAAGCATGAAACAACCACTTCGGTTAAGTTCGGTAAATCTTCGTGATGAGCTCGGAAAGCAACTTTAACAATTAATTTAAAAAAAAGTACTGGCTAAAAAACAATTTTATTTCATTAGAGGTCACTTTTAGATCATAATCTTTAATTAAAAAAATTACCATGGTGGGTTGCCATTTACAAATTTTTTTTTTTTCAGAACTCGAAAACTAAAAGAAATTTCGAAAAATGTTATTCTTGATAAATGGTCACATTTTAATTGGACTTTACGCTACACTAAAGTAAAGTGCTTAGTTTACGAAAAAAACGCTTGGTTCCATACTTTTTATTCACCTGGTATATGATATAGGTATGTACAGTTAGGGACAAATTACTTTGGTCGTAAAGTCACTTGAGTATCAAAATTGTAAAGCATGCATTAGGATGGTTAACCTTTTTTTTGCTGTACCCAATACATATGTCTGCAATTTGGCCCATGAACAATCCCTCAGAAGTAAAGGAGACGATTCTTAATTCCTAAACGTAGAAATGGCACTTTATTGCTAAGAAAAAACTCAATAATTTAAAACTGTCATCAATGTTGACTAGACGTTAATGCCTGGTTTACATTATTTTTTTAAATTACATAAAAATGATGACCCAGGTATTTTGTCCCCAACAGTACCTATAACAGTAAAAATAATTGCTAGCCTCTGTAATAAAAAATACACTAAAAATAAATTACTGCAGAATGTCAAATAAAATAGTTAATTGAAGGTTCTGCAAAGATATCTCAGACACTTGTCAGCTTTATTTAACGCCTATTAAAAAGGTACAGTCAATTTCAAAAAAAGTGGTAGGCAATGTCTCATTTTGGCATAAAATTATTAACTATTCATGTGTAAATGAGCGTACTTAAATTTACAAAAATACATTATTTGCCATCATGAAGTTTGGTAATTTGTCATCAAATCAATTTTGTTGTGAAAATGTAAATCATTTATTTATTATTGATTACTTTATGAAATGACATTGACGACCACTTTTTTTTTAATTCGAATGTATATTTGAATTCAAAAATTTGTCAGTGATGCATAATCTAAAAAAACAAAAATCACAAGACCCGTACCACATTTTTTAACTTTTGTGGTAATGTTTTTTATTCCTACATAAATGTGGTTTCGTTTTACAAATAATCTAATTAAAATCTATAATACTTAGTAAATAGTTACTAAATAGTATTCTAACGTCGATTGTAGTTAAAAAAAACCAACACAATGCAGTTCCAAGAAATTTTGTAAAACTATGTAAGACAACAAAATCATAAAAAAAAATAAGGAAAATACATATATTCTTGTCCCAATGAATCACTTCCAGGCGCCCACACATGACCCATTTCTATTAAAGTCAAACCCATTAACATTACTAATACTCTCTTTATTGGTACCTCGATTAAATACTAATTAGATTAATTTGCATTTCAAAACGTAAGGAATACTAATGAAAGACAGAACGTACCGATGATTTCAACACATTAATATTTACAGTCTGGCTAAATATAGGCCTGAACGAAATCATGTCGACTTTTAAGAGTGATTTTGACGCATTTGTAAAATATGATTAATCATGAAAAACTTGTTGTAACTGGTCTCGACCAACAAAGTCAAGTCAAGTCAAGTCAAGTGACACGAAAGCTGTCACCAATATACAATAATGACATCGTTTTTTTCTACTATGTAAATTAATAATTAATATAAAAAGAAGTTTGATTATAACTCTTATTTAGATACAGAAAAAAAAACATTTTTTATGATTATGTGTTAATTTATACTACCATAAAAGAGCCGAAGGATTAAATATCTGACAATCAATCAAAACCGGCGATAAAATCAATGACAATCATAAAATCCACTTGGAATAAAGCACCAGAAGTGCAAATGATCGCCAAATAGTGAAACACATACCCAGAGGCGTAATTGCAGCTAAAAATTAAGCAAAAAGATTATACCTACTCCTGACGCCAATAACCTCACAGACAGGTTCTAATTTTACTACACATTACTTGAATTCGACGAACTAAACAAAAAAAACTGGCCCTCAAACACACACTACTCTAATTAAAGCTGATAAACTGGTCTTTGATTTGTGTTAATTATAAAGGCAAACACACCAAACACGGCACACGCAAACCATGAACATGGAGGCCAGCCTTAATACTGCCATGAAATTGTCCAATGTGGCAACAACGCATGCGCCAAAAATGTCACTCAAAAAATTAAAAAAAATATATTATGGACAAAACTGGTCTAATATTTCCAATTTATTCGCGAATGATAGACATCAATCATAATCTAGCTTAGAATTTTCCAAATTTCGTGCACCGCTTGACATCTTCATGCAACCAATGTTGCACTTGCAACCCGGTTGCAACGTTGCCAAGTCGTGCGGTCAGGTTTGTTTGACCCGTCTTTCGTCATGTGTTTGTTTATTTTTTAATTTTATTCAGCGAAATGTCGTGTGGGGCCGGTCGAGGCAGGGGTTGGTTGAATTTAGGCTCGAATGTGGAGCCCCCGAAACCCATGGGGCTGCCCCAGCCACTTGCCCCATCGCCGGTGGAGGTGAGTCCCGAGTACAGAGCACTGGTGGACAGAGTCAAGGAACTAAACGTGAACGATGATGGAATTCTTTTGAATAAAAAAGTTAAGCATATTCAGAACTTTTGGCAGGACGAGTGCCACAGTCAGGAAGAAGTTGAGTAAGTAGTTACCGGTTTATAACAGCTTTGGGGCTATTTGGGTGTTTTTAGGGCGAGTTTTGACCAGTTGTATAACGCAGCGCTTCATGATTCTGAATTGGCATCGAAACTAGTAACTCTAGTCTCATTGAGGTGTACTGACTTTCAAACGCATGATTGTAATATAAGATATGAGTTTTTGAAACGATTGCAAAGGGACTTTAAGAGTGAGTTTTTGGTTGTTTTTTTATGTTTTTACTACTTTTTTACATTTCTAGACAGTAATCAATTACAAACAACCAATCCTTCAGTGTTCAGGAATTGTATGCTCATTATAGGAGAATTTTTCAGTAAAGCTAGACTATCAGATGGGGAACCTTACAAATTTTTATCAACGCCATTTTTTACATGTCTAGAGTTATTACTAGACGGCAAAACTTTACCCGATCTCATTTTATTCACAAAACAAGTAGGTAAAATGTGACTTTCTTGAAGTGATATAAGTAATCGGTAATTTTTGCAGTTACATTTAAATGGTTCTACTCTAAGAAGTAGAGTACCTGACGACTTTACAAAATTAACAGTTAAAATTAGAACATTACTAGCAGAGCCTCAACTTGTAAAAGAGGCCAGATTATGGCTTTTATTAGCTTTAGACCTATGCAATGTCAGATTTGGAGTTCTACCAAATGAAATTTTTAAATTTTATGAAGACCAACTTGGAATTGTACCCATGGTCAACTTCCAGGTGGGTATATCACTTTAAATTTTATTTCTAAACTTAAAAGCCATGCACCTACTCCATTTCAATCCTGTGGGACATTTTAAATGTTATTTTTTAGAGGCCGCACGACCCTCTCAGCATCCAAACCCTGCACTCAAGCAAAGTCCTTGACAGTTACCAGAGCAACGTAAATGTATTGCAAATTTCAACCTCCCCCACTGAGCCCCCAAACGACGTCCAACAGTATGGCAACACTGAGTACAACGGTACTCAACAGAAGAAAGAGAAACCTGGTCGGCCTATTCTAGGCGTAGGTGCTAGGTTTATAAATAAAAACAAGGATGAAAACGGTTCTTGGAATAATAAAAAAAGCTCGTCTGGGCGTGCACCTAAGAAAACTCCCCCTGATTTTAAAAATAAAGGGTGGGAACATGATGATAGGTTCGAGAATGATTACAGTTAAAAAGGCATTTGTTTTTATTAGGTTTTGGCAAATAATTTTAGACTATTTTAGTTTTTGCACTTAGTGATATTCATGACGTCTTAATGGAGACGCTCATAAATACTCTAGTTAAGTGATTTTCAATTAGGTGAATTTTTTAAAAAAGGTTTTTATCTCAATAGATGTAATTTTTGTATCATGTAGATGTATCTAATCCTTTATATTTTATGTAGTATTGTGTGTATTGTGGTTGAAATTTTATGTATATTTTGTATGTTTTAACCTTTTTATTTGTTTACAATTTTTAAGTGAAATGCTAAGGCTTATGATATTTTATTGACGAATTTTACATGAATATAATTAGATTAATTTTTGTGACTTTAACACATTTAGAAATACTTATAAGCCTGGAGCAGTGTTGCCTGAACAAAAAATACATATTTTATGGTGCAAAATTATCGGTTTTAAAGATAATTTTTTAAACAAGTTAAGTTGTGTACACGATTAAATTAAATTATTGGAAAATAAATAGAGAAGAGCATTTAACTGTTTCAATCAAGTAGACATTACCCATCCTTTCACATTTCAAACTGTCCATTTGACATTTTTTTATCGCATTTTTATTGGCCTTTTCCTTACCTATAATGTGTAATTTTTGTGTAAGACATATTTTCAAATGCTCCGCCATGGTTTAATTTAGTAAGTATTTTCTCCCCATTTCTACATATCTAGAATTTATTTTACAAGCATTGTCACTTTTATGCTAATTTGTGGGGAATACAACGCAATCAACGACGAAGCGATGCGGCCATTTGATGATAAATTCTTAGATGAAATTTCTGAAAATAACTTAAAACCCAGAGAGAGCATTGATTTTTTGAAGCAGAAATGTCCACGTTGCTCGAAAAAAAATGGACACAATGGGAAAAAAGACGATTTAAATATAAGCGAAAAGGAGTTGGCAAATATCGGAAAAATATTCATCCATCATTTAGCCAAAGGTGGGCGAAACAGGGTCGAAACCTACGATACACCACCCAAAGAAAAATGTGACGAAGAAAACCATGAACAATATGTCGATAAAGATTTCGTTGAATATATGCAAAAAATAGAGAATATTACAAAAGAAGGCCAAATGCTTTATGACGAACTCCGAGGTCCGCCATCAATAAAATACGATCCGGATGTGCAGAATTCGAAAAACTGCTGCGAAAAAGAATCACTTATCGACAATTCAAACACAAGTAAATACAGAAAATTTGCTGCTGTATCGTTTTATTTTTGTCATTTTATAGATCAACATCAACATTCAAGTGATTTAAAAATGCATTTTTACAAGTTTACACCTGATAAAATCGACGATAGAAGAGCAATTAGTTTATATCCCGACAGAACTCAGTATTATGCAATACCACAAAAGTATGATTACATCGCTTTTTTGTCAAATGGCGACAAACTCGTGGATATTCCCGCAATCAAATTAAATGTGTTTTCCGATTATTTAAAACGGGGCAAGCGGACCAAAAACTTTGTTCCTTATTTTACCACTTTATACAAGAAAAACGCCGATAATAAATTACAATTCGAACCCTCTCAAAGACGTTTCACACACACACCTGTTCTGTTTTTCGATACAACTTCTGGTGCCAAAAGATATAATGGACGTCTTGCTAAAAGGTCTTCAAAGTCAGACATTTCAACCAATAACTATATGCATGACGCTGATGTGTTGCTAAATAAAGTTAATTTCTTTCTAAAGTTGGGAGATGAAGAAAACGAAATACGTCAAATCGCCGGTCATGTCTTTACGAAACCAAAAAAACAAGTTAAAAAAGAAATTCAAGAGAAAAATGGGTTTAAAAGCTGGTTTGAAGACGATTATTATGAAGAGCCACGAGCTAAAAAGGAGAGTCAAAATGATCAGTTAGAAACTTCCTCATCTAAAGAAAATTTCGGTTTGTTTCTTGATTTTGATAGTGAAAATGATGAACTAAAAGGAGCAGTAACAACAACCATGAGAAAATTGACCACAACGGCGAGTGAGAAAAGTGCAATAGATATGTCGCCCATTGAAATCGAAAATATGATGAAGGACGTTGTTGCCAAAATAGATCTTCCGCCTTTGGCCAGAAATGATTTGGAAATAAGTCGTCTGGGATATCCAAACAACTTGTTAAATTCTGAAGCATCGCAGCTGCTCAAAGAAAGAAATTTGGTAGACGATTATGTTAATTCCGCCCTACTTAAAGATCATAATTTCTTTAAAAGTAAAATAAATTCAGATAATAATCTAGAGGAAACAAAAGACGCAGGGCCACAAATTTTCGATAATTTTTTAATATCGGATAATGACATGAATGCAAATCAAAGTAGTACCACAGAAAACACAACCGATTCAGAAGCTACTGTAAAACCAGGAGTAAGTATAATTCATTATAAAAAAATATTACTATATCTCTCATTTGTAGAATATATCATGCGCTTATTTACTGGATCTATTTAAAAACATTGAAGCGTTAAAGAAAACAGATCCAAATTTTCAAAAAATATGTCCTAAATTATGTGAACTCTCACATATTGGTGAAAATTCAACCACCACTCAAGAATGTCTGAACAAAACGGAAGAAACTTCTCCATCACCTACTTCTACTACCACAGAATCAACAACAATGGAAACTCCTTCGGTCTCGTCGTTTTCAACAACAGAAATTTCTTCATCTTGTCATACTACAGAATCAACGACACAAGAAGAAGCTTCATTTTCACTTTCTCCGTATAACATGACTCATGAACCTCCTCAAAAAACTTCTCCCTTTCCGACTAAAATTGAAGAAACGACTTCAACGTTAGTAAAACACAGTCAATCTGTATCGCCTCAGCAGAGTAACGATCTTTTAACGTTGTTTCGTTTCACAAATAAAATATCTCGTGACGTGGAAAGAGTTTCAACAGAACATTTACCTTCAACTCTAAAAACACCAAAAATTACAGAAACTTTATGTCTGCCAACTAAAATTGACGAGACTAATACAACGGAAGAAAATATATCTCCTCTAGAGGAGGAAAATGATCTTTTAGAATCGTTTCAACTGCTCAATAAAACGTTTCAAGAATTAGAATCATCATTTGAAAACCTGACTTCTGGCAATGAGAATACAAGTAGTAGTGTTCAAATAGAAAGTAGTAGCGCCATTATAGTACCTGAAAATTTAACAACTATTTCGGAGTTAGGAACAATATCTACAGTTTCTGAAGTTTCAGAAAATTCCTCAGAAATTATATCCACAGTTCCAGAAACAAAAATAACAGAAACTTTATCATCTTCAACTACAGAAATCGGAGTATTAACGCAAGAAATATCTTCAGAAATTAGTATGAATTCCGTACCGGAAGCTACAGTTACAACAGAGGCGGAATCTACGTCACAAACTTCTGCTACAAATTCAGAAACATTAAGTAGCACTCAAGAAACAACGCAAACAACTCTTGTAACTGAAATTAGTACAACTACAGAAACTACTTCTGAAGTTACAACGACTGTCGCCACGATTTCTTTGCAATCTGAAAAAACCACAACATTAGAAACTAGCGCTAGTATGGAAATTGAAACAATATTACTGAGAACTAGTTCTGCTGCTTCACTTTCAGAGTTAGAAAAAACTATAATTCCACAAACAAGTTCAATCAACTCAGTAGAAAAACAAACGTTTGAATCTAGAGAAAGCTCAAGTACGAACAGCCCTACTTTCAAAGAACAATATGCAGAAGAAGATTTCGCGCATTTTACAAAACCTGTCCCAACAAGTGTTTTGAAAATGGAAGGAATTACAACTACCGAATATTCCTCATCAATAGCAACACTAGAAACTAGCGCTAGTACGGAAACTGAAACAATAATACTGACATCTAAATCTGCTAGTCCACCTCCAAAGTTAGAGGAAACTTTAATTCCACAAACAACATTAACAGAACTTCCAACAGAAAAACAAATGCTTGAACCCAAAGAAAGCTCAAGTACGAGTGGTACCAACAAAGAAGAATATGCAGAAGAAAACTTAGCGCATTTCACAAAACCTGTTCCTACAAGTGTTTTAAAAATAGAAGAGATTACAACCAACGAATATTCTTCATCCGCAGATGAAGTGGCTAAAATTTCTGCTACTCCTGCAGAAGATGTGAAACTAACTTCACTTGCAAAGATACTTTTCCCTCCATATGTCCACATACCAACATATAAAACAAACGAAGCTGAAGACAATGTTCCAAAAGAAACAATTCCTTCCTTAACTTATACAACAAATGAACTTCAACAAAATAGTCCCACAGTATATGCTCCTTACGGTCATATCATAACTTCTAGAACTAATCAGTTTCAAGAAAATACTACTACAGCGATACCACCACCATTTTCCCTTCCACCAACTTATAGAACAAATGGGTATCCTAACAATCCCACCCAGATCCCAAGTTATAAACCAACCAAGGTAGGAGAGGAGAGTCCGAAATTTACTCCTCTTCCTCATTCATCTAAGTCTCTAACCAAATCATCAACTTTGGAAGATGGTTCAAACGAATATATCAACTATAGAGACGAAGAACTTAGTGCCATTCTCGATTTATTAGGCCACGATTTGGGTACCAGTACTATCCGCACCGATAATAATAATACCTGTGAAGGTATACTAGGCAAAATCAAAAGGAAAGTTTTTAGTAAGTTACATACCGCTCAAAAAGACTTGAAACTAGTTTTAGCCGTAAAAAATTTACTTCTCAAATCGAAAAATCGGGAAAAAAATAATGGAAAAAGAAGAAAAAAAGATGTACAGCTTTATAGTGTTCCTCAATTCAAAAAAAAAAGAGCACCATCAGTTTCTAAGGAGGAAAGAATGAAGGAAGTAAAAAGACTGGGGAAAATTTTGCATTGGAGAAACATGGAATTTATCAAGAAGTCTGCGAAGAAACGGAAGAAAAGGAGAAAATGATAATTAGAATAAAAAATAGGTAAAATAATGGTATGTCGAAAACTACAGAAGAAAAACCATATTTTTTGTAGCTATGAATTTCTAAGCACTTTCCAAGAAATTCAGAGGGGGACCATACAACAAAGTGTCTAATATCATATAATTTTAAGTGATAACAAATGAAAATATGATGATAGGCTTGAAAATGCTATGATATTAAACGAAAATTTTCTTTAGCTGGGTTTTCGTCCTTTTTTTATGCTTAAGTTTTTATACAGGCAATCAAAAGATCTTTTGACAAGCTTTCCATCAATATAAGGTTTGTATAGCCTAGAGTAAAATTCTAAGTTGCTATCCTAAATGATCTAAATTTCGAAAAACTTAACATAGATAAATTAAAACAACCTGTATAAAAGTTATTTGTAATTTAGCGTAGAATCCAAAAATAAAATCAAACTGAGTAGATTCCATTTAAAAAAAAAACATAACTTTAGTGTTTTTTAATATTGGGACACCCTGTATATAAACCGCAATATTTTTAAAATGTGCATCAAAAACGCAGCTATAATCTAAAAAAAAGAAAAAGTCAATATCTTTTAAAATAAACCTTTTTCGGATATACAGGGACAGCCTGTATATTTTTATACAATTTGTATCGCTAAATCTTTAATTTTTGAAATTGCCTCAATTATTACGAGTATAATATAGAGTTCTTTAAAAAAAATCCGATCCAAGTCTCCTCTTGACATTTCAAAATGACAAATTTCTGACATCCTGCTCTCATTATATTGGTCTTTTCCTAATCTATAATGTGTACTTTTTGCATATTTGATATTTTCAAATGCTTCGCTATGCGGTAATTTAGTGAGTATATTTTTTTCCAATTTTCCAACTTTTTCAAAAAAAAATTTAAGCATCGCTTTGTTCATGTTAATATCCGGAACGTACAACGCAACAAACCTTCAGGCTTTACCATCATTTAGCAACAACTTACTCCAAGAAATCTTAAATTTCGACAATGTAATCCAACCCGAAATCGGCCCACAACGTGAAAGTGATGTTTTAGAAGGAAGAGAAAGTATGGATGATGCAGAAGGCAAAAAAAATTGTTCACCGCATCAAAAGTGTCGTCCATGTCCAAGTTCTGAGACAAAAACAAACCGAACGCTTTTTACCAAAAGACAATTAAAAGAAATAGGATCACTTTTTGTCAATCATTTCCTTGAAAATCAACGAAAATTTGGATATACAGATAATGATTTTAAAGAAAAATTTGTCAAAAATCAAGCCAAAAAGATACAAGGACGGAAACTGTATGAAAAAGTCGAGGAGAAAAATGAGAATGGAACTGAAAGATGCCCGACAGAAAAGTTTTTCCAATATCCAAGCAGACGTAAACACCAAAATAGGAAGTTTCCTAATATCAAAATTTTGTTATTTTAGATCAGAAAAAACCGTCACGTAATTCTGTACGAATGCCTTTTTACAAACACAACCCCTACAAAATTGGTCAAAAATTTAAAAATCAGAGATGTGTCGCCGTTAGCTTGTATCCAGACAACAAAATTCCACAACAATACGACTATATAGCCCTTTTATCAAATGATGACAAGTTTGTTAATATTCCTGCAGTTAAAGTCAATGTTTTTTCGAATCAAAATAGTCGAAGTGATAATTTCTCCCCATTCTTCGTTTCTACTTACAAGAAAAAACCTCAACTTCATCACATTAGCAAATTGAAGTATCGACATTACACTCATATTCCTATTCTCTTCATCAACACAATCCCAGGTTCCCTTAAAAAAGTTTCAAAAAGATCCCCGAATTACTATATTTCGAGCAATAAGTACTTACGCGACACTGATCTATTGATCGAAAACATCAAAACTTCGCTAAAAATGGAGATGGATAATGATGATCAAACTCCAAAATATGTTGATAGTGCAGTTTTTGTCAATTCGGGGTTGAAGCAGAAAAAAGATGTTGATAGAGATGTTTCTATTCCTTTTATAAATCAAAACCAAAAACAAGGTCTAGACAATAAGTTTAAAGCTAGTTTTTTACAAAATCTTCTAATCAAAGACCCAGATAATACAAAACATGAAAGTGAGAAAAATGCACTTGAAACGTCTCAGGCTGAAATCGATAATAGAATCAAAAGTGCGGTCAATAAATTAGATCTTTGTCCTCATAATAAGTTTAACGGTTTAGAAAAACTTATAGTTAATTCATTAGAAGCTACTCCAAGAAAAAATTCACTTAAATTAGTGAAGAAAGAAATTTCGATAGAATCGTCAAAACTCAACAATACTTTTGTCGATAATGGGTTACAGAAAAATTATGGAACAAATAACAAATTGTTAAATTCTGCAGGATCGGAGTCGGCACCACCACAACAGAGTAACGATCTTTTGACATCGTTTTGCTTCACGAATGACACTTCACGAGAATTAGAAGAAACACCGTATGAAAATTTTACCTCAACCGTTACAACGGCTACAGAAAGTCCATCTTTTCCTGTTAAAATTGAAGAACCAAATGCACCGGAAGAAACTATAGCTTCTCCAGTAGAAGAAAATAACCTTTCAGAAGCGTTTCAGTTTCTGAATTTGAAAACATTTCAAAAGTTGAAGTCGTCATTTAAAAATTTGATGTCTTCTGGCAGTAAAAATACAAATAGTAGTGTTGAAGCACAACATTTAAAACAAAGTAGTACCACCTATACGATATATCAAATGATAATAAATTCTAATATTTCGGAAACTTTCCCACCTTCTACAATTTCTGAGAACAGAGTACCAATGACGCAAAGTAGTATTAGTAAGTCTGAAGAAACACAACAGATATCTTCAAGTACAAGTAGTAGCATGAAAGAAGAATATGTAGAAAAAAATTTAGGACACTATACAAATCCTGTACCACAAATAAGTGGTTTAAAAATTAATGAGGATACAAAACATGGGAATTATGGAAAGTTACCATCAGACGTAAAATCAACTTCATTGGCACAGCTACTTTTCCCTACCCACGTCACAACATACAAAACAAACAAAATTGAGGATAAAGTCACTAAAAGAACACATCCTTTTCTAGATTACAACCAAGTCGCAAGTTATAAACCAAATGAGTATCAGGAAAATAATCCCCAAATGTTTCATCCCTACGGTCATGCACCAAACTATGGATCAAATGAGTATCAAGAAAACAATCCCCAAATGTATCATCCTTACGGTCACGTACCAAATTATGAAACGAATGAGTATCAAAATTACAATCCCCAAACATATTATCCATATGGACACCCATCAATCTATGAAACGAATGAGTATCAAGAGAATAATCCTCAATTATATCCTCCCTACAATCACCTACCAACTTATAGAACAAATGAGTATCAAGAAAATAATCCCCAAGCATACGGCTATGTACCAACTTATAACCCAAATGAGAATAATCCCCGATTACATCATCCTTACAGTCACGTAGCAACCAATCTAACAAACAAATTTCAAGAACATAATTTTCAAGAATATCCTCCTTATTATTACAATCCAACCTATAAAACAAATGAATATCAAGATATTAATTCCCAAGTATATCCTCCTTATTATCACGTACCAACTTACAGCTCAAATGAGTACCACGAGAATGCTCCTCATATATTTCCTCCCTATTATCACCTACCAACGTATAGCACAAATGAATATCAAGAAAATAATCCCCAAATATATCCTCCCTATTATCACGTACCAACCTATAGCACAAATGAGTATCAAGAAAATGCTCCTCAAGTATTTCCTCCCTATTATCACGTACCAACGTATAGCACAAATGAATATCAAGAATATAATCCCCAAGTATATCATCCCTATTATCACGTACCACCAACCTATAGCACAAATGAGTATCAAGAAAATAATCCCCAAGTATATCCTCCCTATTATCACGTACCACCAACCTATAGTACAAATGAGTATCAAGAAAATAATCCCCAAGTATATCCTCCTTATTATGATGGAACAAATGAAAATCAAGATAAAAATTTCCAAGTTTATTCTTCTTACGATTATGTACCAACTTATCGAACAAGCATATATCAAGAAAAGAATTCCAAAGTATATTCTTTTAACCATCAAGTATCAACTTACAGGACAAATGATTATCAAGAGAGTAATCATCAAATATATCCTCCTTATCATCACATACCAACCTATAGAACAAATGAGTATCAAGAAAATAATCCCCAAGTATATCCTCCTTATTATAACGGACCAACTTATAGCACAAATGAGTATCAAGAAAATAATCTCCAAGTATATCCTCCCTATTATCACGTACCAACCTACAACACAAATGGTTATCAAGAAAATAATCCCCAAGTATATCCTCCTTATTATGACAGAACAAATGAATATCATGATAAAAATCCCCAAGGTTATTCTTCTTACGATTACGTACCAACTTATCGAACAAGCAGATATCAAGAGAAAAATCCCAAAGTATATCCTCTTAACGATCAAGTATCAACTTACGGGACAAATGACTATCAAGAGAATAATTATCAAATATATCCTCCTTATAATTACGTACCAACCCAAAGAACAAATGAGTATCAAGAAAACAATCTACAAGTACATCCACCTTATTATGATGTATCAACTTATAGCTCAAATGAGTATCAGAAAACTAATTACCAAGGATATCCTCCCTATTATCACGAACCAATCTCAAATGAATATCAAAAAAACAACCCTCAAATACATCCTCCTTATTATCATATACCGACCTATAGTACAAATGAATATCAAGAAAATAATCTTGCTTTATATCCACCTTTTTATCAAGCACCGACTCATAAAACAAATGAATATCAAAAAAATAATCCCAACGAACGAGTTTCAACCTATGGAACAAATGAGTATCGAGAAAATAATCCTCAAGTTTATCCTCCGTATTATCATGTACCAACTTATTCCACAAATGATTATCAAGAAAATAATCCTCAAGTATATCCTCCGTATTATCAAGCACCAACTTATAGAACAAATGAGTATCAAGAAAATAATCCCCAAGTTTATCCTCCGTATTATCAAGCACCAACTTATAGCACAAATGAGAATCAAGAAAATAATCCTCAAGTATATCCTCCGTGGTATCAAGTACAAACTTATAGCACAAATAAATATCAAGAAAATAATCCCCAATTAAATTATCCTTATCATCAAGTACCAACTTATAGAACAAATCAGTATCCAAAAAACAATCCCCCAGCATATCCTCCTTATGACTACCCAACAACCCATCGGACAAATGAATATCAAGAAAATAATCCACAATTGTATCATCATTACGATCGTGTTACAACCTCCAAAACAAATGAGTATCAAAAAAACAATCCTCAGAAGTATCATCCTTACCTCCATGCTACAACTGATAGAACAAATATAAATAGAAAAAGTAAACCCAGTGACTTCCATAAGACAAATTATAAAACAACCGAATTTAAAGGAAGTATTCCTAAATTAACTCCAGTTCCTCAAGCACACCGAACTACAACATACCCAAGCGAAACATTTAAGGAAGTGGAAGGAGCTCCAAATAAATTTAACAACTATAGAGACGACGATCTTAGTGGTATCTTAGATTTACTAGGACATGATTTGGATATTGCTACTATTCGCACGAGTGATACTAGCGAGCAGGGTATATTAGAAAAAATCAAAAGTAAGTTACGTACTTTGAGTAAAGATGTGAAACTAGTACTAACAATACAAAATTTACTTTCTAAATCAAACAAGCGGCCAAAGAACCAAGTAGTAAGAAGAAAAAAAAAAGTACCATTCAATATTGGTCTTCGAACCAAAAGAAAAAAATTCAGAACTTTTAAGAAACAGGAGACCAAAGAAGTTGAAAGTTTAAAACATATTTTGCATCGCAGAAAGAAACATTTGGTAAAAAAGTTGATGAAAAAGAGAAGAAAGCGGAATACATGAGAACTGAATTAAAAAATTGAAAACCACCAAATGAATTGCAAGGAATTCGAAGGAGAAACTACTAACAAGATATCTAATGTTGCTTAATTTTAAGTCATAACAAGTGAAAATATGATAATAGGTTTGAAAATCCTATAATTAAACGTAAAATTTAATCTAATAAATGGTTTTCTTAATTATATATTAAGAAAAATACATTAGTTTTCATTATTCTTTTCTTCTACTAGAACAAATCATTCAGTTTCAACCACAAATTTCTTAAATTTGATTTAACTAATATTTTATGGTGTCTTTAATAAAGTCTCAAATCTCAAATCTCTCTTTCTTTCGAAATCAATCTAATCCAATTTGGTCAAGTCACCTATGCCTTTGTAACATTTTAAGTTGTCTAATTTTTGACGTTTTATACCACTTTTTACATTGTTTTACATTTTACTGACCCTTTGCTTATCTATAATGTATTATTTTTGTGTGCCTCATATTTTCAAATGCTCCGTTATGCGCTAGTTTAGTGAGTATTAATTATCCCCACATTTCCAATATTTCTCAAAAAAAAATTTAAGTATTGCCGCGTTCATGTTTATTTGTGGAAAGTACAACGCAATAAACATCCAGCCTTTACCACCATTTAACCGTAACTTCCTGGGAGAAGTCGCCAATTTCGAACCCGAAACCGGCCCACAACACGAAAACGGTGTTTTAGAAGAAAGGGAAAGCATGGACGAAGAAGAAGACGAGGAAAATTGTCCACCAAATCAAAAATTTCCGCGTTGTTCAAACCACGAGAAAAAAACAAACGGAACGAATTTTTCCAAAAGAGAATTGGACGAAATAGGGTCACTTTTTGTCAATCATTTCCTCGAAAATGACCGGGAGCTTAGGAATACTGAAGAAGAAGAGAATAAAGAACATGATGAAAATAACGATCCGGTTATGTTCGATTCAGAGTTTATTGAACAACAAAAACAGGTTAAAAATATAACGGAACAAGGACAAAAAGTGTACGAAAAGGTAGAGCAAAACTTACAAGAAAATACTATGGAAGAGTGCACTAAGACATGCGAAGAGGAATCTGATAAAAGTTCAAATAGACGTAAGCACAAATAATACTTTTTTAATACTTTAGGTACTACAATTTTATTATTTCAGATCAGACTGGGCCGTTAAGTAGTTTGGTAAAAATGCATTTTTATAAGCACAATCCTAGTAAAACTGGTCAAAAACTCAGAACCCAAAGATCTGTCGCTGTGAGTTTGTATCCAAAAAACAAAATTCCTCAACAATACGATTACATTGCTCTCTTATCAAATGACGATAAATTTGACAATGTCCCTGCCGTTAAAGTTAAAGTTTTTTCGGATCGAAATAGTCGAGGCGACAATTTTTTCCCTTTCTTTGTTTCAACTTATAAGAAAGAGCCTCACAAAGTTCCCGATTTAGGTAAATTAAAATGTCGACATTGCACTCATGTCCCTATTCTCTTTATCAACACAATCCCCGATTCGCTAAAAAGGCTTTCCAAAAGATCTTCAAATTACGATATTTCAAACAACAAGTATTTACGCGACGCTGATTTATTAGTCGAGAACATCAAAACTTCGCTCAAAATGGAGATGGATGATGATAAAACTCCAAAATTTGTTGACGGTGGAGTTTTGGTTAATTCGGGCGTGAAGCAAAAAAAAGACGTTAGTGGAGATCTCTCTATTCCTTTCATAAATCAGCACCAAAAGCAAGGATTGGACAATAACTTCAAAGCTGGTTTTGTGCAAAATCTTCCAATCAAAGACCCAGTTTTAATGTCAAATTATGAAAACGATCGATCTTTTGAATCTCCCCAAGAAATAGACTCTATTGCTTTGAAAAATGAAAACCCTTCAAAAGTACTTCTAAATAATGAAAAAACCCTAGTGCAAAACCAGTTAAATCCACTACAATGGGACCTAACGAACAATAGAAGACATAAAAGTGATAAAAATGCACTTGATATGTCCCCAGCTGAAATCGATAATTTGCTCAAAAGTGCAGTCGGTAAATTAGATCTTCCTCCCTTGGATAATAAGGATCTTAAAAGTCCACTACCAGTTGTTTCTTTCCAAAACGACTTTAATTCAAATTCAACACAAGTTAATGCAAGAAAGGAAGAAGATCTAATCGATTCCATTGAATCAAACGATTTGGTTAAAAGTATCGTCGATCCTATTGCCACCAGTGTGGTGAAAAGTGTCATCGATTCAGTCAATTCGGGTCAAAATAAGTTAGATGGTTGGGCAAAAAATGTGATCCGTCCACTAGATGCTAGATCAAGAGATAAAACAATTAATTTAGTGAAGAAAGAAATTTTGACGGACACATCAAAAGTCGACAATTCTTTCGTAGATAATGAGTTAGATTTATTATCAAATGAAGCAAATAGTTTAGTGTCAAATTTAAATCATAGATTATTAAAACATGCAATAAATCCGTCGGGCAATGTAAAACCTACAAGTAACAAACTAAAAAGTAAAGAAATCAGTTCTTTGTCAATTGACTCTAACGATGATAATTTAGGTAATAATGACATAAATACTTTCGATTTAAATCAGAATAGTTTTGTAAAAGATGAAGTCAGTTTAGGTGAGACGGGGAATAGCGATAAGTTCGAATTTGGTGACACTTTAATGAAGAATGATATACCATCAGCAAATTTTGAAGAAAGTCTTGGAAATCGCGATGTTGGTTCTTTTGATAATTCGCTGGATACTTCTTTGGATTCCTCGCTAGATAGTTCAGTCGACAGTGATTTAAATCAACAAGAAAAATTAGTTCCAGAAGTCAAATTTTCCGACTCTTTCAAAAATCAAATCGGTTCTGATAATTCGAACTCTCAAAACCTCATCAATTCGAATAAACAACAAAACGGAATTGCTTCCAAATTTGAAAAAAAAGTGGTAAGTTTCGACTAAATATCAAGATCTGTAAAAATTGATCCTTTTTATAGATCTCTAATAATGACGTCAATGAACTTCTCAGAAATTTTGATAGTTTGAAGAACTCAGACCCAAAATTAAAGAAATTATCCATGGAATCCAGTTGTAGTTCAGAAGGTGATGGAATGACTCCTTTAGCACCACCAACAACAACAACAACACCGTCCCCACCTCCTTCACCCCCAACAACACCACCCCCGCCTCCTCCAACTGAGCCGCCACCCCCTCCTACAACCACCTGTCCTTCTTCAAATGCTCCCATTTTTGAAGATAAAGGAAAAGAAGACTATGAAAATGAAGATCTTGGAAATATATTAGATTTGTTAGCCAATAATTTGACTACAAGTGGACAATATGCAACACAAACGGGTGCTACGTCTATACCAACAATTAGCGCAAATTCTTCAGATTTGACTCCTATAACAGGGGTTTTACATACAGAGACGTCAGGTAGTGAAGCTTCAAGTGTTGCTACGACTACAGCCAAAGGTATAATAGAAAGAGGCAAAAGTGCATTTATAGATAAACTGCACGATCTTCAAAAAGACTTAAAACTGGTTTTTGAAATACAAAACAGACAAACAAAACAAGACAAACGGCATAAGAGAAGCAAAAGAGAGGCTTCGCCATACACTTATCAAAGATATAGAAGAAAATGTCACAAAAATAAAGTAACTGAAACAACAACTGAAATGTGTTCACCTAAAGCGAAGAAACTGAACGAAGTGGTGGGGTTGGGAAAACTTTTAGAATGGAAAAACCAACACGAAAATAGCGGCGATAGTTGTTCAAGGTTCAAACATTTTTCTTTTAAAAAGTGGCGCAAAAGAAGAAAAAAGAAAAAAAAGAAGAAAAAGAAGAAAAAATGGTGGAAACGCATCTTCGGTAAACCAACACAGCATCATTTTTTAGGCGCAGATTATCAAAATCTCCTATGAATAAACGCAACTTAGGTCAAATTAGAAAACGTAGATTTAGTCAAATAGAAAAACCAAAACGAGACGACGGTATTTGGCACGAATTTGAATGGCCGGGCAGTCGACAAAGAGGGAGAAATAAACAAGTGACTGAAGCGACTGAAGAGAATAAAAAAGTTTTGGATAAAGAAAGAGGAGGTAAAGGTGTGATAGGGGTTCATAGTACTGAACAAAGTGCCTTGGAAGAGCTTCAAGAAGCATTAAATGATTTGGAAAATTATGAAGATAATGTAGAGGAAATTTCAACGAAAACTGAGGAACATGAACATCTTTTGAATAATGTTGTAGAAGTTGTTACCAAAATACAAACATCTACAGCTCCTAGTGAAGAAATTAAAATCAATAAACACATCGAAGAATCCGCTACGGGAATCTCGGGTGTTTGGGGAGAATTTCATTGGCCCAAAGGTCATTTGAAAAAACTAACTAAAGCACAACCTGATGAAATAGTTGAAATTGCGACCAAAGCAATAAAAGAGGCTGAAAATGTAATAAAAAGAGTGAATGAGCTTGAAGAAGTAGATTCATCTGAAATTGTTTTAAAGACTCCTAAACCGAACTACAAAGCAGGTGAAGCAAATCAAATGGTTAATGCGAAAGAACCGACTACTGAAAGTGCATTATCTTCAGAGACGGAAGAAGACGAACGACTGATTGGTTTCTTGAATAAAATGGAACATGAATCATCTATAATACCTCTGAAAAATACTGTAATAACTCAAAAATACGAAGAAATAGAGACACATACTGAAGCTACAGTTAATACAGAGTCGGGCGTTTGGCAAGAATTCACGTGGCCTCGTGACCGATTTAAACCAACAGAAATTGAGGAAACCTATGAAAAAGTTGCTGAAATTGGCGAAGCAGAGCCTAATCAGTTGCTTGAAATTGCAACCAAAGCTATCCAAGAAGCGGAAGAAGTATTGCAAAACGTAGAGCATGTAGATATAAATAAGGAAGTTAATTTTCAAAATGAGTTAAGTGGTTTAGAGTACGAAAAAGTTAATAAAATTCTAACTGATGCAACTCCAAGTGAAATAGTGTACACTAATGAAGAAGTATACTCTGAGATAATAACTGAATTTGGAGCAGATAGATTTTCCGAGCAAACTGTTGTACAAAGTATGAATGAACCATCAGAAATTCAGATGGTACCAAATGTTGAAGAAATATCACCTGAAAGTGCTAAGACTAAAAATTATCCACAAGAGTTTACTGAAGAAATTTCTCCCCAAACTATTGCAATTAAAAACTATCCCGAAGAATCTCCTACAGAAAAGCTTCCCGAAATTGTTCAAGCAAACTATCCATCTCCTGAGACTATACAAACTCAGAACTATCTACAAGAGTCAACTGAAAAAATATTTCCTCAAACAGTTACTATTCAACAATATTCCAATGAACCTTCTGGAAACATATTTACCGAAACTGCAAGAACTCAAAACTATACAAAAGAAACCGAGATTCATCAAACAAATGAAAAATTTGGATTTCAATGGTCACATGAAAGATTCAAACCACCACCTCCAGTTCAAGATAAATTAGCCCAAAATGCAACAAAAGTACTCAAAGAAGTGCAAATTGCCCTAAAAGAAGTGGAATCTAAAAGACCTGAGTCTCCTCATGTGAAGCAACTAGAAAATGTGTTGGACGCTTTAGAAAAGTTTGAAGAGATAAACAGGGACAGTTACAAAGAAGCTGTCCAAAATCAGTCGGAAACCATCAACAAAGAGGTTGACAATATGATGACAAAAATTCGAGAATTATCAACCGAAAATATGTTATTTTCAGAAACCATCGAACCAAAAGAAACCAGGTTGCAAGAGAACGAAAAAATCTCGAAAGCACCGAAGGCTCCAACACCGGCGCAGACTAGTCATCAAGAAACGCCATCACTGAATGAAGAAATTACCACCCCTCACCATCTCAATGAATATGCTCAAAACAGTCAAACGGGCATTTGGAAAAAGTTTACTTGGCCTTTTCACAAAAAGGAGAACAATTTGGAACAGCAAAATCTTGAGGTAACGGAAAACGTAACTGGAACAGTTTCTACAGCGAAAGGAGATGCAATGCAAGAACTTGAAGGTGTCCTAAATGCATTAAAAAATTACGAAGAACAGACGAGTACAGATCTTGGAAAAATGAGTTCTTTGAGTGAAAATTTATTAGAAATTTTTTTTAACGATGTTACTCTTGCTGTAACAAAAATTCAAGAAATGACTCCAAACTTTAAAACTATTGGAGAGGAAGTAATCGAAAACGGAACTAAAGCAGTGGACTATCAAGAAGATTATAGGCAAATGTCCCAAGAAGATTATGGCTGGATAACACAAAATAAACCTTCAATGTCTTCTGTTACGCTACCAACTGTAACGAGAAGTGAACTGTATAGTTATACTCCTAAAGAACACAAAATTGCCCCAGAGAAGTATCCAAAAAACGATGGGATGCTCCCTTTTGAAGTGCCAAAAGTGGAAGAAAGCGAAAAGTACACATATGCTTTTGAAGAACAAACAAATGCACAAGAAGAATATTCTGGAAATAAGGAATATTATGTTACGGAGAGTAGTAACCCAAAAGATTCCATTATTGAAGAAATCGACAAATTAATTAAAACAGTTTCGGAAGAAATGCTCATTAATGGATTGCCAAATACGGAAGAAAGTGAGTTCAGTATTTATTCTTCTGAAGAACAAACTATTAGCTTAAAAGACTATACAAAAAAAGATAGTTATTACGTGACGGAGAGTAGTAATCCAGAAGTTTCTTCCGAAATTGAAGAAATTGAAAAGGTAATCAAAATGATTTCAGAAGAAACACTTACCAATGAAATGTCAAATACAGAAGAAAATATTTCAATTACATATGCTTCTGAAGAACAAACAAATTCTCAAGAGGAATACAGCGATAATTATTACGTTACTGAAGGTAATTTTCCAGAAGATTCTTCCGAAATTGAAGAAATTACGCAATTGGTCAAAAACATTTCTGAACAAATGCTTTCCAATAAATATACAAATACACAAGACACCGAATCGTACACATACGTTCCTGAAGAGCAAGTAAATAGACTTGAAAACTATTTAGAAAATAAGGGTTACTCAATCACAGAGTCCAATAATCAAGAATTTTTTTCTGAATTAGAAGAAATCAAAGAAATTTCCAAATTTGTTAAAACAGTTACCGAGGAATCGCTTCCTCTTAAAACATCAAATACGGAAGAAAATGAATTGTATACTCTTGAATCTGATCAACCGAAGATTAATCAAGACGAGTACAAAAGTAATATAATTCATCACGTCACGGTTAGTGCTTCCCAAAAAACTATCAAACCAGATAAAACAGTAACAAAAAAAGAAGAAAAGAACCCACAGTCTAGGAACAAAAATAAGCAAATTAAACAAGAAGAAAATTTCTTTATTGATGAATTTCATAAAAAACATGAAACGTCTACTTTGTGTGTTACTTGTGACAAAAACAATGAACACTATGAAAAAGCACCACATCATCATAACACTGAAAAAAAAGTTCAACTGAAAAAAAAATTCCACGAATCAAAGAAAGGGCATAAGAAAATTGAAGAAGAAGAAAAATTATCAACTCATCATCATGGTACAGCATTCACACCTACAAGACAGAAAGAAACCACAAAAATGCAAAACAAACAAGTGTTCCAACACATGATGAAACTCCCATTTGAAATCCTCGTAACCGAAGAAAATCTAGAAGAAATGAAAACAACCCAGAAAGTAACCGTTTTGGCGGGAGGAAAATTAGTGTCTAAAGTGTACAAAAAAACGAAACTTCCAACTACTAATGGACCTCAGCAATTGGAAAATATTAACATAACATCAAAGAAAATGGATAAAATAGATGAAGAAAAAAACACGGAAGAAGAAACAATTGCTACTGGCACTGAAGCTGCTGGAAGTGCAAATGTAGAACACACTGAAGCTTTAGAAGGTAAAGAAGAACTGACGGAAAAAAAAACAGCTGCTACAAGCACTGAAGCTAGTGAAAGTGATAATGCAAAACAAACTCAAGCTCCAAAAGGTGAAGAAGAAAAAAAAGAGAAAGAAACGGTTGCTACCAACATTGAAGCCGGTGGAGGTGCTAATGTAGAACACACTGAACCTTCAAAAGGTGAAGAAGACAAAACGGAAAAAAAGACGGCAGCAACTGGCACTGAAACTGGAGAAGGTGCTAATGTAGAACAAACTGAAGCTGCGACAGGTGAAGAAGAAAAAACAGAAGAGGAAATGACTGCTACTGGCACTAAAGCTGGTGAAGGTGCGAATGTAGAACAAACTGAAGCTGCGACAA